AGTTTATATGAAGTGTCCTGGCAAATGCTGTAGTTTTTGGATGGATTCCTGGCTGTTTTAGAGGAGAATTTTATCAAACTAAGTATGCTAGAAAATAAATTAATTGGTTAGCAAATAATTATCAGTTTGGTCTAAATCTCAATCACAATACCATTATTACCATTATTTTCTAATATTTCAAAAGTCCTATCCTAAAGTTACTAGACATCTAAAGCATTGCAAATTCAGAAACTTCTATATCATATTTATTGTTATTTTATTTATTTATTTATTGTTTCCTAGATGCAGCACAAACATTTTTTTCCTATAAATGTTAGCATATGTGGTGCCATTAGCTGATCACTTATCTTAGTTTATTTATATTTACTTAACAAGAAAAAGACCCACTGCAAGCTGTGACCTGGTCAAGATGTCAGCAATAAACAGAGAAAGAAAATGTTAGAATTAAAGAATCAAACAATTCTAAAACCAATTGATAGCATGCAATTGTCAGAGAATTTTACAGCTCATTGGTCAACAGTGAACATGCTTGCTCACCATTGTAATTGTTTATCTTAGTCTGGAGTTATACAATCAGTAATCCCCCACACAACAGGTCAGTGTTTTCAAATTTAATCTATTGTTGTGGCTAATATTTTTTCTAATCCTCTCTGCCCACTTGATCACAGGTAGCGTGTGTTATGAATGTATCAGCTAAGCTCTAAGCGGTTGGTGGGGCATGCACTCGGGGCTATGTGTGTGTTCCAGTGGTCCTGACAGCCCTTTCCTCATTAAACCCCCATCAGACGCACAAGGTCAACACAGCAGATACATCCACTACTGTGATGTGCATTATACACAACACAGACATACACAAGCCCTTAATAACACAATATTACCAATCATTTGTTTTATTTTTAGCTTTGTGGTTATTGCTTTGAACTACTCAGATGTCAGAAATGTGAATAATGCCTGGAGACTATTACGTTCCTACTACAACAACCCCCCTTGGTTATTGAACTGTCTGTATTGATATTAGAGATAGAAGATAGTTTGGCCAATACGTCGGTGCATTTATTTGGTCCATCGGCTATCAGCCTTTAACCTCCAGCATAGGTTGATGTTTTGTTTTGGCCAACATGTATACACAAAAGTATATACAGACTCTATAGCTCTTTTAAAGATCAGTGGTAAAAAAGTGAGGATGACAATCTTATTTGGCCCTACATACTCAGGACCCTGGTACGCCATGGAAAAAAAAACAGCTCTAATTTATGGTCTAATTAATTTGGTCGAGCTCTAATTTATGATAAAAAGGTGTTTATGTATTGTTTTTCCATAGTCAGTAGTATTTGAGAAATCAGGTCAGCAGTGTAGTCACAGAAGGTTTCACAGCAGGAGAGAAAATAACGGATTCAGGCGAGAATGCCATGATAGGCCAAACATTTGCTACACACATTAGGATCTTCATTATTATTAGTATTAGTAGATATTGCATGTAAGACAAGTTGTCCTCAAATTGTGGCAGCACAGGTTTAGAGCTGATCTAGACCTGGTCCTTTCAATGTCTTGGTTTAATCAATATAGTACCTAGTAGAGCTGAACATTTACGATTTATGTTAAAATCACAGCCTTCCTATTCTGTCCATTAAAATAGCTATTTTGATTACTTAATTTGAACTTAGTGCCTAGTTTTAGTCTGGGTTTAGTATATTTTATGGGTTAGATCCCAATTTTGTAAATTTGTAAATAGATGGTTATTTTTCCAGGTTGACTGAGTACGAACCGAGTCTAGTGACAAAAAAACATAAACAGGGGATGCTCTCATAGTTTTACCTTTCCACAGAATCCCACAGCTGTAGAACACATGGATCTTCTATTCGTAAATCAGCTTTCCTCTCTACTTCCTATTGCCACTAACCTTTGTACATTAAAATCCCACCTGAGACTCTGCTCCTTTGGTCAAGCGGTAATAGGAAGGAAGTGTTCGAGGGATGAGTTTGAAGTTGCTGTCAGTCAAGAAAAAGGGATTAGACTTGTCCTGCATCCTGTCACTCTCTGTCTTATTATAGAAACCATGTAGTCTACCATAGGGGCCCTGTTTGGTGCATTATTATGTTCATGTCCCCGAAATTTAAGCCTCATTGAGCTGGTAACAAGTATTGAGCTATTTGTAATTGCTAATGCGGCGTGTCAATAATGTAAATGCAGATCAGTAAAAGTCTTGGGAGCTTACATGGGTTAGCTTTCAGGTAAAGAGGAAGTCAGTGAGTAATCTGCCCAACTTTAGCCTAGTCAGCTTTTGCAGGAAGAACTGAAGAGGCATTGTTAGCAAATATTGAGTAGTTAAAAAATACTGATATGACTACTTATCCTTACCTGTTATACATAATGATTTTCATTTTACATATTTTTGTTAGACTGTTTCTGTTACATTTTTTCTTGATTATTTGAGTTTAATCGATAAAGGAAAACTAGATCTTGATAAGCCTTTACATTTAATTAAATTGATGACTTGTGTAGTAAGTAGGATTAGTGATGACCTATATGGATTAAATTCAAGCATGCATTGTCAAGCAGCATTGGTCTTCCACAACTGGTACTTGTACAGAAAAACACAGAAATTCAAAAATGTCTTCAACTTGATATTAGATGATCCACTGCTACATTCATTAAACTTAGTACTGTTGTATAATAAGGGTTGTTGTTGGTTAGTAAAGGTTACTTAATTAGATCGGTCTTTGGTAGTACTTTACATTAGGAAAAGGCAATGTACAATTTATTGCAAGATATTGCGATTGTTATTTTGAAGCCATGCAGAATAAGAACTTCAGGAATGTAGTCTATAGTATTGTCAATGGTAATCCTTGTCAAAGCCTGATCTCATCAGATTTTATAAATTAGACTAGGCCTAACTATTACTTGGAAGACTGCTGGGAATATCAGCTACAACAGAGGGACTCCAGTGGCATCTGGCCAATGTGTCCTTAGGCAAGACACTTCACCCTAATGAATGTGGTGTGTGTGTGAGTGTTGATGGTAGTCGGTTGGACCGATAGTACCTCGGTCCATTAGTCTGCCCTAGGACAGCTGTGGGTACAATAGTATCTTACCAGGAATATATATAGTATGGAAATATATAGTATGGAAAAGAATGAATAATGCACAATATTGTGAAGCAACTGGGAAAGCACTGTGTAAGACTAATGTATTATTATTGTTAATAATAAAAAGTAATAGAAAGGAAAGTAGAAAAAGTTGATTAACAGAACAGAAAGAAACATGACGTGTAATCTTTCCAACAGGGATATGAGGTGATATTTCTGCACTTTTGGAGTTTGCAGTCTTTTCACAGTTTGTGAAACATAGTCATTTTTGACATTTTGATTGATTGCAAAAATAAGAGGATAAAAAATATATAGTGATATTTTTGTTGATTTTGGCCCCCCATTCTTTATTTTATGTTGATAATGGTAGCATAACTTTATCTCCACTTGCTTATGTTGCATTTATGATCCTGCTCCCTTGTCTGTCTGTACAATCCATGTTGCCGACAGCGTCAAGGTGACAGTGTGTGTGATAATGTCACAGGAGCAGCGTGGGTCTCTCTGGACGTCTTTGCTGTCACATCTCTGACAAATCAAAGCCGATTTCACCGTGTCAGCTCCATGCTTGTCCCCACACTCCAGTACTGCTGCTGCATATGAAGCATGTCACTCCAAAAGGATGTTATTTACAAAGGATGGCCCATATGGATTTTTCCTGCCCATACCCATATCCAGTATATTTCTTGCTGTTGTGTATTTGACTTAAAAGAAATACTGCATAACGTTTCTGGTGGAAGGCCCATCATCAGCTTGTTCTCCTCATGGAGATGTTATTACTTTGCCTGGAATGTTCTACGTATAGCATTAAATCTATCTATGCATTTATTCAATTACAGGCTTTACTGCTGAAAAAGTACCTTCAGAAATGTATTCTTACTGTGAGCATTCTCTCCTCTTCACCAATCTAACCTGCAACTTGCTGTCGTGCTGTCAAATGCTTGCCCCTGAGTTATGACTCTGGCCATACTGTGGAAATTTCTGGAGACAATGTGGCAGACCCTCTAACTGAAAAGTAGTGAACCTCTTACCAATATCAAGATATGAAATTCTACAGCAAGGCCCACAAATTGTTGTTAAGTTGTAGTTAATTTAACAAATTAAGAGACTGGGACAGATTTGAACAAACTGATGCTAAATGCTGGATCTACATTGATATTGAAAAAAAAAAATTAACTGATACAGATATTTTGACCATCCCTATTATTTATAGTCACCCCCTGTCTCCTACAACTGAAGAACTAAGACTGAGCTTCTTGCCTTGCTAATACATACAAAGTACAGGAGCACAGACAATTGAATCATCTGTCCAGCCTTTGAAAACAATAGGATAATTGTTCATTGTCTTGCAGGTGGATCTATAAAATTGATGTCTGGCTAAAAGCAACATGCATCACTGTAGCTCTACCAATGATTTTTAACTACCACACAGCTCTGGGTGCTTTGTTTTAGCTTGTCAAATTGTGTGCACGCTTTCAGTGAACCGTGTCTTCATCTGACTCCAACTCGATTTTTTTCCTTTCTTGTGACTGGAAATGTGTGGGAATGTTCACTTCGGTTGGTTGCCTGTTTACATAAAAATACTGCGTCAGCCTTGAGCACTCGGATTGTCGGTACCTTGTTTGCATAAAACAAAAGCAGCTCTCTGTATAGTGCTGAAGTAGCCTAACCTTTAGAGCTGGAATAATTCATGACTTTTACACATCTCAGTTGCCAATGCACTGTATCAGCCCGTGCCTCTCTCACCTCTCTCCCCATTCCCCTCCCAACTAGACCCCATCCAACCGCCAGAGGTTAAAAAAACGCGGTACACCTTTCTTGCATAAAGTCACAGCATGTTTTCACTGAGCTAGCTTCCCTAATTGACACATGCGCTTGTCTCACACTCTCTATTTTTTCTCTGTACTTCCTTTACAGTTCTTTTGCAATGTCTAAAACGGTGACAAAGAAGCAGCACTGGCGGTCCAAAGTGCAGGATAGCTTTGTCCCGCTATTGGGAACATCGGGGGAGCTTGGGATTTCAGTGGGCGGAGGAGCAGACTATGGAGAGTTCCCCTTCGTCACCTCGGCACCAGGAGGAGGCCTGACAGTGGGAGATATCATTCTGGAGATTGGCGGGACACCTGTGCTCGGGATGACGCTGGGAGATGTCAGAGGGGTGCTTAACACCTGCCCGCATCCCGTAAGAATCAAGACCGTCCCACCAGGTATGGACTCATTTCACTATTAAAACTAGAATGCACATTGATAGGTTATGTCTGAGTGGGCTTTCTCTTGTTTCCCTCATTAACTTAAAATCAATAATCTAACCCCCCAGTTAGGTAGTGACTAACCAACCTGGCCCTGATCAAACATAGCTCCAGATCTCAAATATTCTTGTATCATCCAGAAAAAAATTATACTTCTTTTACCTCTGACAGACAGGATACGGTTCGGAAGTTTGTCAAAGCATGTGGTTTTGACTGGCCAGACAACTACATGGGCCAAATGTAGAGGAGAAATTTCTCTATGGAATAAACTTAATAGCCATAACCTATATTGCACTAAATTGATTCTTGTGAGTTTAAGACACGTTATAATGATGTTACATAATCAAAACATACCTAGAATTGTGTTTTTTTTTTCATTCACAAATGATTGAGTAATCCTTTATTATTAGTCTTCTACATCTCCAAAGCTAATAATGCTCTGTTCCACCCTGTGATGTCATGTAGTGGTAGCTTTCATGGCTACTTAGTTCAGTAAACATTGGCAATTCCAGGTGTGGAATAATCCAAATTATTCTAGTGATAGTCTGTATGGAGTTTAAAACGCTGTGGAGCAGTTCCTGTATTACTAGATGACATCACAAAGTGTTTGCATTTGATTTGTGTGTTAAATGTATGAACGAAACAAAACACAACTCGAGGTATGTTTTTTATGAAGAAACAACACTATAACATGGATCACAAAATAGTGTAATATAGACCCTTTAACTCATAATATTAACATCAGAATCATTACAAACATAAAAATATTGTGTTTGTGGTTATAGTTTTTATAGTAAATAAAACAATTTGACTTAGTAAGCTTTAAGTGGTTGCTGATATGCTGCTAATGTAAAAGCAACTGAACTGTTACTTGCAGATCACACCTTTTACCCTCTGAAAATGTGTGGGGAAACTCTGCATACTTCCTCTGGTTTAATTTATTCAGTGCACATTGCCTGAGAAAATGCATTCAATTTTAATTCCCTGCCTCCTGCCTCATACACTTTAACTTGTTGCACACCATTGCACTTGCCTCATCAGACAACACCCAAAACAATCTGTTCCCCCAGTCAGTCGAGTTGGCATCCATATATTAAACCTCAAGATTAATCGCAATAGATTCAAAACCGTGATTTAAATCAACACGATTTGCAAATCTCAATGGCTGCAATTATTCACGTAATATTATGGCCTTTGCAAACAACAAAATATCAGTTCTTATTGATTGAAAAATGGCTAATCCTGTACTTTAGACTGATACACTAATGCACACGATTCTTGTATTAGTTTAGCTTTTCATGTTTCAGTCAGCTCTCAAATATTAATAATTCTAGACATGTTTGAGTAATCCTGCATTATTTACTTTGTCTAAATCTCCAAAGCTCAAAATGCTCTGTTCCACCTTGTCGTGTCATGACGCAGTAGTTTTCAAGTTACAGTTATCTTTTGCTTTTACTTCAGTAGAGATAGGCAATTCCAGAGTTGAAAGTATTCAAATGATTCATGTGAAGGTATATGGAGTTTAAAAAGCACAGTGGAGCACTTCCTGTATTACGGCAGGTGTTTGAGAGAAGGACACATCTTAAATATGCAGGATTTGTGTGTTAAACATATGTGAATGAAACAATACAAAACATCAGGTACGTTTGTTATAACAAAACATTATAACATAAATCAGAATATAGTGCAATATAGGCCCTTTAACTGAGTAATGTTGTCATTCCTAATATTTACACACAGCTCTATTTTTCAAAATTTTAAACAATTTTTGTCAAAGCAATTGAGCCTTATATGTCACTCTATAACAATCCACTGGTTATTAATTATGTGCTTGTTCTGTTGATAGGTTTTGGTCAGTTAGTCCACAAGTGTCAAGGCGAACTGTCAATATGTGGCGAGGAGGTCAAAACCAGCCATGACAAATGACGCATGAGGGTGACGATATAGTTGTCTGTCAGGTTCTCAGGGTCCTTGATGTTTAGAACAGGGGGGCACAGAGGAACGGATGAATTTGTTGACTCCGAACAGAGCAATATGTCATGTGGGTGTCACCTAACCGCAGCACCCAATGGCCTTGCCTGCGAGATTGATAGCTGATTTGGCCACAGGGGTGTAAATGGAGACCTTTGCTCCCATTCCGCCCACTGTTAGATGTATTATCATTCCTGAAGTCTGCCCATGCCTCCTCGGACAGCCCTGACTGCCTGAACCTAGACAGTGATGGATGGTTACACGCACCAGGTTGCTGTATCACACATCCTCTCACTCACACACATACTACAGGTCTCTTCGCTCTAATGCAAGACCCATTCTCTCCACATAAGTGCAGAGAAGGAGGTAACAGGCTAGTCAAGAATGGTGTGCCTTTTAGTGTTATTTAGGAAAATTCACAATTGTTGAGCTTGATTTCATGTACTTGTGTCCAGGTCTATTATTTCAGTAATGATCCGCGTCACGTTACAGACTCCACGCCGGTGCGTTAAATCAGTCTAACTCTGTTCGTCATTGTTTAATCCGCTTGTACCATAGTCCCACCAACTGAAAATAGTTCACTTTTAAATCTAACTTCTTAACTGTCTTGACACTTAGAAATGACTGAACATTAACCTTGATTAAAATTCAATGAATTGCTCAGCCATATTGTTGTAGAATAAATTGTAGTAGCCCAAGAGTTGAAGAAAAGAGGCATGATGCCAGAGTTGTAATCAGAGAGAAGACATGAACCCTCAAGACATTGTGATAGTGTTATCCATTCAGTCTGGTGCAGTCCAGTTTAGCTATGGTTTTATTATACATCTGCTGGCGTAGGCTAAGACACCTATTACCAACAGAAATGTAACAGCCCCTATCTTGATCAAATTTCAATAGACTGTATGATGAACTTAAAACATGAGTATTAGCATTGGTCAAACACAATTCTTCATACTTGCCCTTTGATCCAAGTTGATACAGCCTGAAGAATTTGAAATATTTACCTTAATAATGCAGAAAATAGCATCTAGTTTATAATAGAGTGAACAGAAGCTATTGTTCCCCACAGACTACCCAATGTTTCTATTTATTCCATCTCATAGACAGCGGCCATATGGGACCAGCAATACAGGGCATGTGTGTAGCCCTCTGCCTCCCATAATATAGCTCTACCACTGTGACTCACTTTAATACCACAGCGTATTGGCACATGGAGGAGCAGACAGGGGGCAGGGGGGCACCTTGTGGGGGGTGGCCGGCAGGGGAAGCACCACTGAGTGGTCGTCTGTCACGGTGACAAGCTGCAGCGGCTCTGGGCCCATCTATAACAGCAAGTGACCTGTCATCAGCCACACAGCTCCTGAAATTATATTAAGAGATCACAGGAAGCCCCCGTATCAGATCTGCCTCCTTGTGCTGGCCATATCAACTGTTGTGTCTGCTGCAATTAACCTCACTCTCTTCTTATGTATGCATGATGTATATGCATGAAGGTAATTGGTAGTCGTCACATCAGAATATGGCGATGTGGTGATTTTTGTTTGAATAATGTAGCTTTTTCATAGGAAATATCCAGAAGAAAAATCTAGATATTAATAAATTATCACATTTATACAGCACATTTTTACATCCAAAGAGCTTTACATTAAAGGGCCCATGTTACAGTATTTTCTGATCTATGATATAATGTTGTTTCCTCATCAAAAGCATACCTGGAGTTTTGTTTTGTTTTATTCACAGATTTAGGATGAATTTCTCTCTCAAACTGAAATCACTGAACTGAAATTCCACCAAGTGATGTCATGTGGTAATACAGAAAGTGCTCCACTGTGTTTTTAAATCCATACACCTTCACTAGAATCATTTTCATTATTTTAACCCTAATATTGCTAGGAAGGTAGTGGGGGTCTTAAGATGGTTGCCAGCTATTTTGGGTGGGCTCAGTATAAAAGGTTTGAGAGCAGGATTCGGACCTTTTGATCAATGGACAAACACTGTACCAAATTACTGTAATCGTGTAACCGAGTTACTTCTTATAGAGAAGTTGGTATATTCATTGAGTATATTTCCTCTACACTCTTTAGCTAGTTGACAGCTTGGGTAGTCCTGTGTTTCTCACTCAGTTTTCATGTTCTCCCTGAATCTGGGTGGGTTTCCTGTGGGCACTATTTGAAACCCATGTAGCAATAAACACCTTTCAGGATGTGTGATGTGGAAGAATGCATGTATGGTATATCCCAGTAATTTCCTTTGAGACGGTGGCGACATTGGATCATTCTTCATTTATTTCTCATGTTTTGTTTCTTTTTTCCAGGCTCCTCATTTTGTAAAGATCTGCGTTTGTTTCTGAGTAAATGCTTCACACCGGGTTCAGTAGACAGTCAGCTCCAGCAGGTGATCAGAGAAAACCTCTACCTCCGTGCTGTACCATGTGAGTAAACCAAATAACTCCTTTCTCATTTGTAGAACATATAAGCCAAATTAATCTTTATTCTGGCTTGTTTAAATTCTTTAGCAGGCCTTTCTATTGGTATTTTACATGGACCTGGTTTAGAACTGGTTTAGACCTGGTTTAGATCGGGGAACTTGGAAGGCCAAATTTTCTTAGGTTGTACTATTTTTATTCCTCATTAGTAAATACATGTTCAATCTTTGAATCGTCTCTTATAAACTATAAACCAGTTTACCTTGCTTCAGAAGCCTCATTACTGCAGTTAACACATCTTGGTTGGTAGTAGGTGCTAGTCGTGGTGTTAATTGGTGATTGCGATAGCAGATTTGTTTGTAAATCTATGCACACATATCCTTTGAGTTAATTGCCCATAGAGGATAACAAGCTGATCAAGTTCACCCCTAGGTAATATTTAGGTTTTGCTCTGAAGGCACTTTGGGCAGGTTTTTCCTCTTTGTGTTTGTGTGAAAAGGACAATTTCTCAAGTGCTGTACGTTTAGACATTAGCAGATATTTTCAACATATGAGCTATTCACTGTGTTATTTTGGTAGTCTATGTATAAATAGATCTAAACATGCATATAACATGCAAATGCATATATAACATGCATGTCAGTATATGCTTGTTGAACTCAAAGTAGGTTTTAGATATGATAATATCTCATGGAAACACACTGAATATTAAGTTCCAAAATGATTGCTGCTTTTGCATAAAGACCATAATTAACAGCATGTCCTAAACTTTATTCTGGTAAATGAGTGATTTATCCCCATAGTCTACATTGTAAAACAGAACTTTGGTTCAAAATCTGTTGAATGATACATTGATAGAATTGCAATTAATCTATTACTGTTACACTGGTCGTTATATAATATCTATCAATATGTATAAAAATCACAGTTATATATTTTCTCAAATCATTCAGGCCTAATTTGTGATTTCTTGTTTGTCTCTGTGGTAGGGTTAAGCAATAGTACAATGCCTATTGAACTACATCTGTCACTATCTTAATCCTTACGCTGTGATGTTACTGTAACTTTGGGTCATACTGACTTTGACCAAGCTCAGGGGGTTTTATAGTTGTTCTTTTACCAGCATGCGTTGCCTATATTGTTTTGTCTTTGTTTATTGGTTTATTGAAAGAAAGATCACTCGCTGTTTGGTTAGACCTAAACCATGTTGTTTCCATGTGGTCTAATCTTGTCTTGAGTCCAGCAACTAGGTCATGCAGGACAGTCTGCCACTCCTGCACACAACAGTGATGGGGCAAGACATAGGTCAAATCTCAGAGGAGGCTCCAAAGATAGGCCAGTCTCCATCCATGTTTTTGTGCAGGACTAGGAGATATATCTGGATGCAAAAAAGAGAAAATTAAGAGTAAAATTAAAAGTAAACTATATATTTTCAAACTTGAATATAAAGTAATATTTTTGCAGTTTGAATCTTAACTTGGCACATTTCGCATACATTTCTTTAGTATTGGCTGAATATGGTTGTTGTTTCAAAAAATAATGAACATTGCCATATGCAGTCAGGTTTAACATATGCTTTTTCCATTTCCACTTAATCAATACAGAATTTTGCCTCCTATCCGAGAGAGTCATGCCATCACCTTCTCTCTGGAAACAGCCACTTGCAATGTATGATATAATCTATATTATTTACATGATCTCTCTCTCTCTCTCTCTCTCTCTCTCTCTCTCTCATCTCTATCTATATATATATATATATATATATATATATATATATATATATATGTGTGTGTGTGTATATATATATATATATATATATATATATATATATATATATATATATATATATATATATATATATATATATATATATATATATATATATATATATATATATATATATATACATATATATGTATGTACTGGTCTTGGGCTGCCACCAGTCTAATTCTGAATGTAGTAGCTTTAGTCCCAGACATAATACAAGCAGCAGTGTTTTAACCATGGTCATTATACATTAAATATATTTTAAATATATTGTAAACATTATGTTTTTTAAATGATCACCTTATCATCCTATAACATTGTATTCCCTGCATTAGAGGCCCAGTGTTTAGGTAACCTTTTGTAGCCACTGTCTGTCTCAAAGGACTGGAATGAGTGACAACAAAGTCAGGCTCAGCTGTCCCTCTGTAATCCTCTCAGCCGCTGGAGATGACAGTAAGATGCTGTTCCCTACTCCACACACACACACGCACACACCCACATGCACCCCCCCCACACGCACACACGCACGCACATGCACACACGCACACACATACATGCACACATATGCACCCACGCACAGACATGCACACACGCTCTCGCACACACACATATGCACATGATGTCCTCTGCCATCAAACCATGTCCCATCTGAATAAAGTACAATAGTACAATTGTTGTTATACAATAGTACTCAACAAGAAAGTATAGATAATATGGAAAGTCTTAAAAAATTCTGTGAAAATGTCTTTGATTAGAATCTATCGCCCACAACTATTAAGTCAGTTACTAATTCAAATACAGTCTTTTGCAGCTTATTGGTTTTACATAAATTGATAACGGTTTCAATATGTAACAAATACTGATCTTTAATGTAACAATTTTCTTAATATCTTGTAGGTGACATTTAAAAATCAGATATGAGTCTACACTAAAACTACTATCAAAACTAGATACTTATTTGAGCAGATGCTAAAAATGTTTAATTAATTAAAAGAAACTACCTGGAGGGATTAAACAGATATAAGACGGTAATATAAAAGTAAAGACTAAGATTTAAGGTTGAAAATTTATTGTCTAAAGAAAGAATGTTTGAAAGTATCATTGTAGTATCAGTATCAGAATCAGTATCATGTATCAAAATTTTGTTAATACATTTTTGTATGGTGACAACACTAGTGACATTCTTCCCACCTCTAACCTCATCCCATTTAAGCAAATGACCTGAACCATGCTGTTATTTGATGTTGGGGTCTTATAGCATTTACTTTACACTGTCTCCTTTCAAATCAATCATCATTTAAGCTGCAGAGTGTTTCAGTGTAAACAGGTTTCAGAAAATACTTTATTCGTCATTTTGAAGCTTGGTGCTATTTAGGGAGAGGCTCACAACAACCTCTGAGTCCCTTTGAAAATACTGAGGCTGTGATGTTGCATTTGGCTCTGATGCAAGAAATATCATTACAAAGGCCCGTCAGAGGGCTGCAGCAGCGCATAAAAATGGAAATGAATGGCTGAATTAAGTGAATGCGGGCTACTGTATCAATAATCTGGAGGGGGAATTAAATTAAAACCAAGAGGCTCTCAGTGCCAAAGAGGGAACAGGAGGAGGAGAGGTAGAGTGGTGGCCTTAGTGGCATTCTGCAGTTTTATGTGGTCGTTCTTTTCATCATAAAAAATCTGAAATTGCAAACTTACAATGAGCTTTTCAACAAGTTTTCTATAGGGCTGTGGAATTAATCAAACTTAAATGTAATTACTATTGTAGCTTTAATCAATTACAAAAATCAAAAAGCCTACAATTAATATTCAGTTTTCCACACTCTCTCTGCCTCTGGCTCCATAGCCACTTGTCGAATCTACAGTGACTCTTAAAACAAATCGCAAGTAGTGCACTAAAATTTCAAACTTGATTTCTATACTAAGGAAAAGGCTACCAATTTTGATACCACAATGATAATAAAATAAACTTTATTTTATTATTATTATTATTATTATTTTACAGTAAAACACCCAAAATAATAATAATACTAGTTCTGATATAGAACAAGACTGTTCTTAAACTACTGAGGAAAGTTTTTTTTTAAATTTTTTGACCTGTTCAACCCTGTTCAAAAGACACTAACAATTATAAGATTCAGCATTCATGTATTTTCTTTTTTGCAAATTTCATATGGAAATATTTTGTATTTGATAGAAAAGTTCCGGCTAATGCTTCCATCTGGGAGTTACGTGTGCATCTTTTCGTCACCAACTCCGTCCCTCCAAAAAATCATCAGATTTAGCAAACTTCAAATTAGCTTTCTGAACTCCAGCTTTCTAATCTGAGTAACCATTTGTGGATGTGCCCTTCAATGATTCAATGTCACGGCTCTATAAAAGACTGTTCTAATTGTCTTCGGAATGACTCAGATAAGAAACCTCGTCATTGGGATAATTCAGCGGTTCTTCCTCCCAAACTGTATGTCATTGTTAGCTGTATTTGTGAGGCCAGACTTTGACAGACAGCCCTCTCTGGGTGTTGATGGGACGTGTGCGTAATTACCTCTTCAATCCCTATCTCAGGCCTCTCCCGGGGGATCAGTAAGCGTTGCCCACGGAGACCGACGGAGATGAGGAACATGTCAATACCCCCCCTCTCTCTCCCCTCTTCCCTCCCGCTGACATGCCGTATATTTCTCCATAGAGGACGCATAGATAATGAGAGCCTGCCTCATGCCACATCAGTTGGAGAAGCCTCAGGAGTCCTGGGGCGAGAGAAGAATTACGTACATGTCAAAAGTCATCAGTAGATCCGCCATGAGATCTTTATTTAAAAATAGATAGCGGTAAATCTTTGTATTGAGGCATGAAGAGTGGACCTGTGGGTGACTGGTTATTTCCTGCAGATGTGGAGCTCTGTGCACAGTGCAAAGTGGAGGTGATCACAGATGGCGTGGCGCCTGATAGTGGCCAATCAAAAGAGCAGCAGACAGGATCTAATGAGAGGAGAGGAAGTCAAGCTTTTCACGAGGGCTCAAGACTGGGACAGCTGACAAATGTACTTTTTCACACTGGATGTATTTGAAGCCATTAGGGTTGCAAAACTGATCGCAACTGAATCAAAATTGCAATTTGAATGGACACAGTTAGCAAAAGGCTGGAATATTTGAAGTATGATAATTTTCTGCACAAACAAGAAAATATGATCTTATTTTGCATAAAATGGCTAACCCTGTAGTTTATATGTACAAACATGCTCTGAAATGTGATTTGTTTGTCCATTCTTATTTCAGTCTTTTTGGCAATTATTCTGGACACGTTTAAAATGTGAACTTTGAATCTTCGATCATTTTATTTTATAAAAATTGCAAATATAATGTAATGTAGTGCTTGCAAGAAAAATCACAGTCAACCATAGAAACAATTTTTTTAAATATAGTATTAGTATAGTTGTAGTAGTTCATAATCCTTTTGAATTATTTTTGTGAGATTTGATACTGATCAAAACAAATTCCTAAAATCTTCTTTTGGCCCCACTGAACTCTTAGATTGCATAGAGATAGAGATAGAGATTGCATAGAGGATTTCATAGACGTGTTACAGTTATGCTTAACAAGAATACATGTATATATATATATATATATATATATATATATATATATGTGTGTGCGTGTGCATGTGTGTGTGCGTGCGGGCGTGTGTGTGTGTGTGTGTGTGTAGTAGAGAACAGCATCTTAACTTTAAAGCTGAAATTAGTGATAAATTTTATTATGGGGTTCTCCACAGGGGGCACATTATCCCAAAAAACCCAATTACCATTTGGAGCATCTGTGGTAATTAACACAGCTCATGTTTTGGCTTTGTTCATGTATTTTAAAATGAAATGAGCCAAGATACACCAAAAGATTAAACACCAGCCCTTGGCCATGGTTAACAGTGTAAAGGATGTTCTCTCTCTTTTCAGTTGGCAGCCTTATTAATTGATAAGTTATAAGTTTTTAATTAGCTTTCTACTCCTTTTTGAGAAATGTGCTTTTCTGTTGTTTACAATGCATATGTAGTATGTGTATGATTATTGTTTCTCTCTTGACACAAACTCAAAATAAAAAACAAATCAATTGATCAATTAATCATTAACCAACAGCTTGAAATCACATTACATTATGTTTTCTATAAGCCAGTTAATACATAGTTTTATTTTTTGGAACAATGCAGTCAAACATCATTGAAAAACTAAAACTTGATGTTACACCGTGAGTGAACTATACACTGTATATTTTACTTTTTTTTTACAAGACTTGAGAAGATTACATTTTCATCATTCATTTTTTTATAAGAAAAAACACAATAAAAATAGATTTTTAAATCAAAAACAAGTTTCACCTTTTACTTTAGGAAACAGCAATCTTTTTCCGCAACACTGTCCTCAGCCTATAGTTACATAAGGATTAAACAACAAGACAACAAGCAACACTGGTGCGGAGTCTAGAACACTATAGTATAGTGGAATGATGTTAATTCATGATTGCGTTAAAACACTGTTCTGAATTTTTAAATCAGATTATACCATGGTCCTACCAACTGAAAACAGTTTACTGTAATGATATAGAACATATAGAACTTTAATATTATTATTAACTGCAGCCAGACTACCTGTGCAGTTACCAGAAAATACATGACAGTTAGCCTTAGAAATCTCACTGACTGTGGTATAGTGGAACTTATTTACACAGATGGAACAACAATATTATGAACTGTTACTACCTATTTTAATGGTGCCCTAAATGGTGTCTAATTTGTTAACCAATCAACCATGAGCCTCCCTGCCCCCCTCTGTAGTATTTTATGAATGCTCCTCAGTGCAAAGTGGGTTTTTGTATTTACAGTATAGAGTCCTGTGTGTCATTGTGGCTGGCCAAGCTGCTCCCTGAACGTCCCGTGCATTAATCATGGGTTTTATGGGCTGTGTGGGTGTGCCTCTCCCCTACAGCCCCTCTGTCCTCACATGAAGCAGAAGGACGCAAATTTGTCCTCAGTTTGGGCTCGCTTCATTTTGTGTCTTGGGAGAAAGGAATTACTCAAGGTCAATGCGTGTGGCCCTTAGTTTGTTCTGAAAATGAAAAGGCGCAGGCTTAATGGACAATCAGCTATAAAAACATGACGTCTTTCACACTACGTGTTCAGACTTGTTCTTAATGTAGAATCATCTGTAAAAATCTATTAAATTACCTCAGACATTACTTCTTTGGTTTGTGTACTTTCTACTAGTAGGCTACATTTTCTCTGGTAGTATTTAGGGTTGTCTCTAGTTCTTGTTAATATGCTACTTTAATACTTAAAATTGCAATGCACTATACCTTTCAGACTCTGCCTGGAATGGTTCTTCATACATTTGTTGCAAAACATAGCTTGAAAAACATTAATTCTTACTGTGGTTACCTCTACAGAGATCTGACCTGTAACTTTTCCTGGTTCATATGGTTACGGTTGTCAATGGAGATAAATGTTAAATTGCATACAGTGGAGCTCTGAAGGTAAAGCAATAAAATCTTCATTGAGCAGGGAGTAGACCCTCCATCACAAAAGTTACATAGTACAACATTAACTGACAAGACAAGAAAAAACATTATTACACCAGCAGTGTCCACTCAACCAGGGGTTAGATTCACATTTGCTAAGCATGATTCCTCATATTGTGTTCACCCAAATAGGCTCAGATTTGGTTATCTCAAGGGGATGGTGGCTGCAGGATATGACAAAATAGGTATTGAGCAGCCCAATGTAGACCTAATTTGAATCCTTTTTGCCTTCTTTCCAATGCAATGCCCAAACAACTGTATGAATTGATTTTATTTGGGTAAACTGTTGAGCTGGTGTGTAATCACTACACCTGTTCTAAGAGCATTTGGGATTCTGTAAATAGGAATAAAAGAAAAACACATCACATTCCAACTGCATGGGGAGCAACTTAGCCCTGAACTCATTGTATAAACTCAGGATGTCATACTTATTATCTAAAAATGTTATAACAAGTGTTCAGTAAAATAATTTTGATTACATTACAAAATATTGACAAATCAAGTAAATATCAATTGTTTCTGCACTCAAACAAAGGATCACAGTGTATGTAGGTCAGTTAGCATATTATGCATTTTGCTGAAATAAAACAATTCAGAACCAGACGTTTTTAATTTAATATTATATATTATGAAGTTTGATATCATGATTTTGCCAGTAGACTTTGTTATATTCTTGTTTCCTAAAGACTACTACTAAGACACTCCACAAAATAAGAAAATCCTTTTCTTGATGTTTTTGCAGATCAAGGTCAATGTAAATCAGTTACAGTGACAGACCATTGATCATGTGACTGCTGCATCGTCGCCACGGTGATGGAAAGACTTTAAGACGTCCCCAGTAGCTCATAAATGTTTAATCGAGTTCATATTGATCCACACATTATGAAGAAGCAACACTAAACTATGACATTATCACACTTTAAAGCTGCAACAAAATCTATCATCAGTGTTTAAACAAGTGACACATCTGTTTTTATGTATGAATGCCCTTTGCTGTGATCTGATTTGTGTTTAATCCCTTCAAATGTTTGCACTATTTATAGTTTGCTGACTTGTTTTGCTTAAATGCTGAGTCATGAGCTCATGAGAGGAAAAGGTCCTGATTAATCAACAAATCAACAACGTTGGAGGAGTGTAGCCGTGAATCTACTTGTGCTTGATATATGAGGTGATATTTTCCTGTTGTCTTCTCCATCACAGGCACCACCCGACAGCCCCGGGTGGGAGAGATATCTGGGGTCGACTACAACTTTGTGTCGGTGGAGGAGTTTTTTTCCCTGGAGGAGTCCGGAGCTCTGCTGGAGAGTGGCAAGTTTAAAGGTGAGAAGGATCAAGAAAGACAGGCACCAGTTTGTGTTGATGCTCTGTCTGGCATGACACAGACCTAAAGACCTTTATAGTATAGACAAGCACATGGAAATGATATCTGAAAATCATTCCTTTGTCATAGTTCTATAGTTAACCATCATACAGTACTATAATATCAAATCAAACAGTTTTTCAGGTGGTATTTCAGACATTCTTGATCCGTATTAATGTCACACGGTGTTATTCACATGTTGTAGACCCTGAGGCACCCCCTTCCTAAAGGTCAGTGTCCTCCCTCTGATTAAATAGCTTTGCCGCATAAGCATCCATAATTTATAAGACTATAATGGCACCAGTGAGTATTGTCTTCACCTGCGACTTGTGACATTGACGTGATGCCACAGCCAAGCGATCAGGATCAGCAGGACTCCAGAGAAACTGCTTTAAATGCCAAAGAACAGAGCCCTAACCCCAGCTGTCTCACACTAAAGAAATAAACGTCCTTTTTTAGTTCATTATTGGATAGGCTACATTTACGTTCTTGGGCCGTGGTAGCGGACTGCCGGGACAGGCGAGAGCAAGAAAGCAGCAGGTCTGCTGTGGGATGGGAAGCGCATGAGACAGACACTGGTCTTAAACGGACACAGAGAAAACTATAAAAGGTTGATGTGTGCATGCCGTGCATGGGCTTACAGTGGTACGCGTGCGTGAGAGGGGCACACGTGCGCGGAGTGTTGGTAACACAAACCCAGTTAATTCTGTCACGGCCCACACAAAATTCTATATTCCTGGTGCTTCTCCTGGTGTGTACTTGCATTGCGGGGCTCCGGATCTGTTTTATTGTAGCCATGTATAACTTTTCCCCACACTCTGCTTTGCTGCCTGTAATGAAGTAAAGATTGCAGACATTACCCACACTGGCAGTGCTTTTAAATGCCACAGCGGTCACAGATTGGTTCAGATACCGTCACCAAATACATACTTGTATCGTCCCACTCCAGCCTCCAGCAGCGAAATACAGCCCCACCTGGACACACCCCCTCCTTAATACTTGCGCTTCGTGCTAAGACTGGGGGCAAGATCGGGCTCAGTATGAGCTGGATCCATCAGCATTGGCTTAAATGAGTTTGGCTTGTTCATACTGACAACATCAACAAATTTGAACTGACAAATTATTTACAGGCAACCATTAGTCTCTATTTAAATATAATCCTTAAACTGCATGCCAGCATTTTGATGGGATGATGTGATATTTCCTTAAGGAGCCTATTCCAGTGCACATAACAGCACATGCATAAGTCTAAAAGGATTTGAAATGGTCTGAGATTGAAGCTTTATGCTAAATAAATGTTTATATCCCACCATAAAGACACTGAGCAAATGAGAACTGAGAACACAAACTCAGTAACCATGACAGATTTGTTGTCCTTTTCAGATGTGTGTTGACATTTTTACATTGCAGGAAACTATTACGGTACCCCACACCCTGTTCACATCAGCGCAGACAGCCCACCCATTACATACCAGGAGCATCGAAACCTGCTCCGAAACTTTCGCACACGCAGCAAATCACTTAGCAACCTGGAGAAGACTGGTGATGATGACAACAGTGAAGAGGACTCGGGTCTGTCAGGCATGTGCACCTGCACCTGTGACATCTATTTTAGTAGTAATAAACATTGCACTCAAATTGACCTTAATTGTTAGATTCTGTTTAAAGAGTTCATTGTAGAGGTGCACTCTAAAACTGTGACTAAACCTGTACTGGACCTAGGAGAAGAGGAGAACTAGGAGAAGAACAGGACCAGACTGAGTCTACATCAGGGCTATTTACCTGTAGAGGAAGTGTAGGCCTAATATATTTATTAGTAGTTCAGTTATTAGTAGATCAGAAAAAAAGGCTTTGATCCATGTTTTGAGAGGAAAAACAAGCCCTCATATCATTCTTAACAGATTGTGAAGTTTTTGATTACAACATTTATTATTGAATAGAGCAATAATTTAAATCACAATCATGCATTTTATTAATTGCACAACATTATCTGAAACCAGATCTAAACTGAGATAACACATCCTTGGAACATAAACAGAAATATTAACTGCTAAATCCATACAAGAATCATATAAATTTCAGTCCATGATTACAGGGTCTAAACTGCAAAGTTAGCAGGTTCTATATAACAAGACCCCATAGAGAAGAGATCATTGATTCTTTGCAGAGGACATTATATCAGCAAAATAATAATTTAATTATCTTGCATAATAATAGATTCCATACTGGTTTGGGACTGAGCCCTAGTCTAAACTACAAGGTTAGGAGGTTATATAGAGGTTATATGGGTTATGGGACAATTTGTTCTCTGAAGAGGACATTATATTACCTTAACTCTGCAGCCTTAGCAATTTTCTAATTACAACCCTTCCAATCATAATTTCAATTTGATTTCAATCAATCTTTCAGGTCTTCTGTCACTTTGACATCCCCCGCAAAAGGACATCAACAGACTGAAGAGGGGTGCACACTGGACATATAAAGGCTGCAGTGCCCCCCCTATCTATAGCCTGGCTCTCTGATACTCAAATGAATCAATCATTAGCACAATTAGTATGCTCCAAACTCTCAGAGGGGCTGTGGCCTCATTGATCGTTGGATTACCTCCAGAGCAAGGTCATGAAGTGCCAAGTTCTGCAAACAAGGGCCAAAAGTAATGCATGGATTAGATGTGTGTGGCGGCATGCATAAGTACAGGAGGGGAGAGTATGTGCAGTATTAGCAGGTTGAAACTGAGAAAAGAAAAAGACCATTTGTACAACTCTCCTCTCTGGAGAGGTAAGAATGAAGGGAGGACACACTGTACCAGAGAGATCTTTAGCTAAAACAAATTTTTTTTTTTTACTTATTTGACGTTTCTGGCCTTTTGTACATATGCATAATGTTTTTTCCTCATCAAAAACATTCCTGGATTTAGGTTTGGTCATATACATGTTTGTGTAATCCTGCATATTCCCTCTGCTGACAACAGTGGTGTTTTGTATGCAAAGAAATTATGGCTGAATCACCTCAAACAAATATAGATATTCCACAAATATGTATTATTTAGAGTTATAAAATGTGATCTATCATTGCGGGAAAGTTAAGTTCTATAAAAGACTTAGTGATATTGTACAGACTGCAGAGAAATATTGTTGACCTGATAATTGCTGCAAAACAAATCAAGCTTCAGGTACAAACAAAGCCAACTGAATATTATGCGACTGGAAATCTGAGATGTGTGACCTTTTGCGAATACTCAGAACCATTATGATTGTGTATAGAATAATAGTAGCGTCAACACAGTAGGTTGTACTCTAGGGCTGAATGATTTGGGAAAAGTATCTAATTGTTATTTTTCTGACCAGCATTGTGATTGCAATTAGATGTGTGTCATTTGTAATTAAATAGTTTGATGCTGTTCAAAGTTCACATTTTAAACACATCTAGGAGAATTGACAAAAAGACTCAAATAGCCCTATGAACTGATAAACTAATACAAGAATCACATTGCACAACATGTTTGTACAGAGTCTACAGGGTTAGCACTTTATGAAGAATAAGACAAGATATTTTGTTGTTTGTGGAGGAAATTATAGTATCATGTCGCCCGCTTACACTAGTTTCTATCATGGTAGTACATTTAAAATGATCTAAGATTATTGCATATTCCACGTTCATGTTCTAGTTTATTCCCAAACCACATAATATATTTACTGCAAAACAGAGGGACCCACGTAAATAAATCATTTAACTCACATCTATTCTTTAAAGCTTGATTTGACACTGAAGAGAAAGTAGAGCAGAGCATTTGAACAGAAGGTGTGTCAGAGATTAGATTAGGCCAAAAGAGCGCAGCAGTGACATGGACAGTGGTATGGGAGGCCTGGAGTAAGGATGCAGCGTGGCAGGGCGCCAGAAAGCTGCACGAGAGAGAGAGGAGGGCGCGTGGGAGGGGAGGGGCAGGCACTGATCCAGATAGTTACAGTCCAAACAAACACACAGGTAGGAGCCGGCTGCACACTGCAAAAAAGGATGGTCTAGATCAGTTAGTTACTAAATGCAGATAATCTTAAATTGATTAAGTTCATTTTTTGATAGACCTAGAGTATTGTACTTGTTTCAAATGTCTTCTAACGTGCTTCAATCCATATTTATTCAAAACTAAATAATTTTCCTATTGCTACTAGTGTAATCATAATACATACAAAGTAAAAGATTCAATATCAATTTCAATACCATAGTAATGATAAAAACACTATAGAATATATATTTTCCACAAAATGTCTTTATAAAAGTCAATATTATTAAGACATTACCTTACATTTTTGCAGTGCAAGACCTGGGACTGGTTGCCTGCTGCTGAGTCATCCAAACGGATGGATGGGATCAGTGTTTTTGTATGTCATAGGACGTCCCACTGTATTTTTAACTTTATTTAGATCCATGCTGAAGGACATTGACAAGGACAGTAGCCCAAAAGATACCTGTGCTCTGTATAATGCAAAAAGTAATCTAGGACAGGTACTTGAATTAAGAACATTTTATCCTGAGATGAGTAGATTTGACTTGACAAATAAAATTTTCTCGCAAGACCTTTTGCTCTTAATTTCTGGAGGTGGCAAGGTAACTGCATAAACCCATAGAAATTAAAACCATACTTTGGAACATTCTCTATTCAGATAGATCATTTTTATGCCATACTGTTAAAGATTATAGCTAAAGAAACAACATTTCCCTGGAAACAAGCAAGTGGATGCCCTCCGCAGGCAAAATAAGAGTCGGGTTTGTGGAGATGTAAGCCCACTCAGAGTAAGAGAACATTATACATTTTTCAGTGCAATTAAAAAAAAATTGTTAAAAAGTTACATACTGTGACTTTAAATAAAAAAAATAGACATAGATGCAATTTGTACATTATTTTTACATCAAATTATATTTACTGCAATTATGAATAGAGTCCGCTACCTACTTGTCTCCATGGAGATGTTATTGCTTTGCCTGGAAACATATGAAACATATCCATCTTGAATTTACTCATTACAACACTTTCTATTGCTCAAAAATACAATAACTGACTCTGACTCTCCACAGATCTGATTGTCTCTCATGTGATAGATACTTTTAATCTATACTGTGGAATATTCTTGACAAAGCAATAACATTTTCCTGGATATATGCTGGTGGCGGACCCTCCACTAAAATGTTACATACTGCATAATGGATATTCATTTTTACAGTGTATAGTTGGTATTCACGGTTACACACTCTTCAGATAGAAGACAAAGCTGTTTAAGATGCTGATCTCAGGCTTTTCACATGACTTCATCCTTCAAAGACTTGCCAGTATACGCATATGCACACATTGTTATGTTTCTGTAAAAACAATATTTGTTCTAGAAAGAATAAATAAAGATCACTAAGACAAATAAGGAAGACTTGTGAAGTGGTTGTGGTGTTATAGCAGTCAAGATGAAGGAAATTCTTCTTCTTATTATTATTATTATTAGCATTAGTAGTAGTATTAATCATCATAATCATAATATAAGTTAAAAGTAAACTTGATTACTCACCTTAATGTCGACTGGTTAAGATATTAATATCAAATAATTGTTTGTTTACTTGCACCAGAAGGAAACTTTTTCTTAGTACTGTAAGTTCTGAGCTATAGAGAATCAAATCATCTAGATATTTACAAATCATTACGCAGTTCTGCATTAAGTCAAATGTTAAATCCTGATTTCATGTTAAACAGTTACAAAAAATATTGTATTCAAAAATACTGTTGAGTATGTCCAGTCATTATAGGCTTTTAAAGAATAGTAACACAAAAGAGATTAATTTAGTCTGTTTTTATAATAAAGTTTGTCTGTCCACTGCAGCAGGTGTCAGTAGCAGCGCCCCCTTCAGTCACAGATCACCCAGTCGGCGGCGGGCGTCAAGTGCAGAGGATGGGCGCATCACGTACAACTACAACGGCCTGAGGGGCAGCAGGAGGGGGGGCAGCTACCGGGGCATGATCTTTGACCAGTGGGACCAGGCCTTCAGCGACCCTGGAAAATCCAACTACAATGAGTGAGTGTTTGTCTTTCACAGAAGGCCTCAAAATGAGGCTAATTGTCTCCTTTTCCATCTCCACATTAGAATCATTACTGTATACAGTATAATGTAACTCAACTCATATTATTAGAGTTACTTTGCCTGGAATCTTCCAAAGCATGACATTAAACTTATCTATCTCAACAGAGACATGGTGTCACTACCAGACCAAGTTACAGGAAACATCCATATAGAGTTCAGTTACCTTGCAGTAAAATTTAATTTTTAATGTATTTTGGAGCAATAAATCCAACAGTATTTAAATTCTACATAGATAGTTTAATAATTAATATTGTGGAGTATTTCAGGCCAAACAATAACATCTAAATGTCAACAAGTGTTGATGACACCCTCCCACCAAAAAAAGTTACATAGTGCATCTTAAGTGTGTGGTCATCATCCTGCTTCTGAAGACCATTACTATCAATACCTGCACAAACATGCATCTAGTTTTGACTCTAGCTTGTATCATTTATTATTTGAGTACTGATTTTTTGACAATCCTAATGTGAACACAGATGAGCTGCACACCACTTGTGAGACTATTTATAACATCCAGTCTGATCACTATTGTGTATTCTATATCAGCGCAATATAATCCCCCATTGCCATTATGTCTGTGAAGAGGGTGACTTTTCTTTCCCTCTTGTCTCTCAAAGCAGCATCCCAAAGAGGAGCAGCTGGCAGAGTCCTCGAGCTCCGAGCAGGGAGACGGTCTACAGAAACGAATGTGAGTGGGCCCCTTGTTCCTCTGTGACTTTGGCGTCTTGCTGCAGATGTAATTACTGGAACACTAGTGACACATTTAACTGCTCCACTGCCTAATGGAGCTTACATATTTATCAAGGAAGTAACGCACCCAGCCAGCTTGTTTGAGTCAAATGAAATGGAATGAGCTTTTAGATGAACAGGAACGTGATTAAGGACTGAAGCTTGGAGCCGTTGGAAAAATGCCAAAATGACTGAGGTTGGCACGGCAATGTGTGCCGACCATGTGATAGTGGGCAGCATTTCATAATTTGGTCACATAATAAAGATGTTAGTGGGAGAAATAGGATATGATATGTTAATTTGACATGACTGATGGTAAATTAAGAAAGCCATCTGTGATACTGTAGTAATGTAGTTATCTTTGAAACGTGCAGTGCAGCTCTGTCACCAGTAGAAGGCACTGTCATCTATAATTTGGCTACAGACAGTAGGCTTAAAAGCAAGTATATGAAAAAGAATCTGAAAATCATATATGCAAATATGTATGTTATTGTCTAATATATAAGTACAGTAAAATTATAAATTAACTAGGAAAAGTGTAAAACAAGATATTTATCTAGCATAACTAAGCTGGGTCAGTCAACTGGATTAAAGATATGAATAGATTTCCTTTTAGTGCAGTCTTTCAACCAATCACTGCCTGTTTATTTTGGTAAAGTAATAATTCTACCATCTGTCTGTCTGTTGCACCACTTCTACTAAAAAAAAAAAAAAATCACTTCCATTCCGTGAAAACATAATAATTGATGGTAATTTGTGTGCATTTATTTTACTGTCTCCAGGGTTCACAGATCAGCCCTCGGAGCTCAGGGGTTTTCCAGTCCACACACACATCATAAAGGGTACCAGAGGGTTTGGCTTCAATATTGTGGGGGGCAGCCATGCAGGAGAGTTTCTTCAAGTCTACAGCGTAACGTCCAATGGCCCCTCTGCTCTCAAAACAGGTAAAAATTTAATGAGGTACTAAGGTCTACAAAACTGCTTCCTGAATTTAAATCAGGGCACCAGAGTTTGAAAATTTGAGGGATGGCACTAAGTAAGAGAGCATGTTTCTCTTTCAAAGCAGCAATCTGTGTTCTTATATTACTGTCACAAAATATGGTCCTATTCATTAAATACACAAAGAAAATGCAGAAATGTTAAACATATATGTTTGTGGCAAGGTCCTTTATCTAGCTAATTTCATGAAATCTGCTTTATCATGCCATGTCTGTAAGCTAGGTACATGTGACAGCTTAACAAATTGAGTTGGAGGGCAGGTGAGAATTAATGTATATCTGGCATTTATTCAATTAAAGGCCTTTTGCTTATTTATTGAAAAACATGCATTCTCACTGTGACCTGCTCGTCTCCGTGGAGATAGATAAATTTAATGGAATACTTTGGAATATTTCAGGCAAAGCATAACATCTGCATGGAGACAGGCAAGTGGCATACCCTCCACTAGAAAAGTTCCATAGTGCAACTTTAAAGGTACAACGTGTAACCTGTCTATCTGTATGTCATACCGTGGAATATCTCCACGATATGGCCGTAAACTTATGGATCTCAGTGGAGACTTGCAAGCCAAATTATAGGTTAAATATGTAGAGAGAAGACCTCACTCACAGTAAGAATGGAAGTTTTTTAAGAATTTTTGTAGTAATAATAACCCCTGTAGTTGGATAAATGCAGATTAGTTAAATACCATGCTGCGGACAATTTAAACAAAACAGTAATATCTCCATGGAGACAGTTTGCAGACCCCCTCCAGAAAAATTACACATTGCACCTAAATAGAATGTTCTGTTATGATAAAGACTCATGTTAATAGCATTTTGTTTTGCCATCTTCATTATCGTACTTAGATAAATTTTCCCTGCTCCTGCATCAAGTTTACAATCACAATCAATTCTTAATCCTCCGAGCTACTGCTAATCCAGCTATCAAAGTGCATATGGGAAAGTACATATGCAGAACACATACACACACACATGCGCGCGCACGCTGGGGCTGCAGATATTACTGTGATAAGCCAGGGCACCGGCTGATCCAGTTCATATCTGTTAATAGGCTGGTTTAGAAAGGATTAGTGCTGTGGATTTGTACACAAAACACACACAATTTCATTTGCAAACACATTTATCTGCACACTTAAGCAAAAGGATAAGGCTTTGAAAACTTGAGAATGCCACATTTCATAAATAACTAATTACAAAAAACAGACACAAGAAAAGATTACAATCATTGACAACTTTCTTTGTTGTTTTTATTTCATGTGTACATGTTTGTCAGTTCAGATCTAAATTTCTCATTAAGGGACAATAAAGTCTTTGAACTGGGAAAAATAATAATTATAATGCAACTTGCAATGTTATGCCAGCAGGCTATTTAACTGTGACAGTCATTTAGCTGGACACATTTGCAACCTGTGCAACAGTTGCTCTTACATACATTGGTTTAAAGGTCCAATATTATGCAAAATTTACTCTTGTGAGATTTAAGCCATGTTATAATATGTTACCTAATCAAAAACATACTTGGAGTTGTATTTTGTTTTATTCACATGTTTGAGTAACCTTTTATTACTTAATCTGTCTACATCTCAAAGTTCAAAAAGTTCTGTTCCACCTTGTGATGTCATGAAGTGATAGTTTTGAAGTTAACAACTACCTTTACTGACCTTTTTTTTTAGTTCAATAGAGATTGTGCAATTCCAGGGCTGAAATCATCCACAGTGGAGTACTTCCTGTATTACCAAATAACGTCAAAGGTGGAACAGTTGAAGAGAAGAACTCAGCCTAAATATACAGCGTTAGTGTGTTAAACATGTGTGAATGTAACAAAACATAACTCCATGTTTGTGATGAGGAAACAACATTATAACATAGACCAGAAAATAATGTAATATGGACTCCTTAATTGAAGTCGAGGAGTAAATGGGATAACACAAGATTAGTCACAATAATTATTATATTCAATGATCAGTATTTGTTAATTTGACTCAACAAGAAAAAAATCTTACACAGAATCTCCTTGTACAATAATATGTGAGCTGTAGGGAGTTACTTTTCTCAAGACTGCTGCCAAAACCTTACCTGTACTTTATTTCTTTCGCTTTTTAATTGACAAAAGGTCTGAACTTACCTGTATGTAAGTAATTTAATAAAGGGTTTGTCATGGGAACTATTTATGATGTTATGATGCTATGTTTTGGGAACTGATTAGAATTATTGCACCAGTGGATTCACATGATAATAAAAACAATAATATATGTATTTTTTTCTCTCTTTTGTGTTCCTGTATAGCTGACATCTTGGTGTACCTCAATGATGTGTGCGTTTTGGGCATGTCCCATAAGGAAGTGGTGGAAATGCTTAAGTCAGTACCAGTGGGTCACACAGTAGATGTTGAGATCAGAAGAGGATACCCCATGCTCTATAACCCAGACGGCTGCCCCAAACAACCCCCGCCCAGAATGATGGACAACGGGGACCCCATCGTACCCCCCACCACAGTCCAACCTCAGTCCTTAAACCACCTACCTCGTCCCCCCACCCCCCAGAACCAGCACTTTACCTTCAATGGAATCCATAGCGAAGCCAGTTATATGGAGCCTCTAGACACCAATGGAAATGCACCATATTACCGGCATTCATATAGGAGATCCAGTATGAGCAACGCAGTGCACTCTTCACCCCCGCGGCCCCCCCGATCTGTGCGGAGTTTAGCCCGACTGCAGTCCTTTGACCCCACCCTGGCCAGCCAGAGTGACAGTGAGGTGGTCTCTGCTATAGGATCACACAGGTAATGACACACAAGTGATGCAGTTCTGTGGTAGAAATTGCTGTTGAAATGGTTCCAGAAGTTTTGCCCTAGTTCAGTAGGTCAGTATCTCTGAAATTATTGGGCCTATACACATAAAACTGAAAGAACATAAAGTTTAACATCTTCACTGTCAGAATACATTAGATCAGAGTAATTAACAGTACTGACCAAGTAGTTATTGGGTTGGGATATATATATATATATATATAAACACACACACATATATATATATATTCCATATTTATATCCCATACATCCATCCCCATTGTTCCCAACATAAATACCAAATTTGATTAATTATATTAGTGACCACGTCAACTATCAAGTATATGTATATAACCAGTGTACATTTCGCCTAAATTAAACAGTTACTAAAAATGAATCCCTCTTAATAAGCTCATTATGGTTCATTATGAATTAAGTCTTTGCTCATGTATTATTCAGGCTAATTAAGGTCCAAAGTGTTACACATACATTAAAGTTATTAGATAATGGATGCCCAAGTAAAACCTATAAAATTATGCGTCAGTGGACATTTTTTCAACGCTTTTACTAGTTTTAGGTCGCTTAAGGCTATTTCCATATTTAAATTTCTATATTGCCTGCATAATACAATCATTACATGCAATAGCTATTCATTAACTTTGCAGCAATTGTATACTAAATCTCATTGTCTCTCTTTCCCATTAGGGCTTCAATGATTCGGAACCACAACAATAATTCCCTCTCAACTCCCCCTCCCCCTTTACGCTACGGGACATACAAATCATCAGAGAGTGACTTGTCCACTTGTACGCTGTCCCGCCTGCCTATGCCCCCGTCGCCACGTAGACCCTCATCTTCGCCCGGTGGTCCTAGGACATCCCACCTGCTCCGACCCAGCCCCTCCCACTCCAGGAGACCCCCAACACCAGACAGTCCCCACTACACCAATGTCAATGGGTACCACAGCATGCCCAGCCCCTCTGCTAGTCCCAGTAGTGTGTCATCTATCGGGGGAATGAGTTTGGGGAGTGACCATGACAATAGGAGCAGAGGGGAGCTTGTGCCAGTGGTCTTGGGACAGTCTGAAGGAGAGAGGGGGCTTGGTTTTAGCATGATGGCAGGGGGACTGGGAGGACGGCTAGCTATTGTGAAAAGAATCCTGGACAGGGTGCAGTGCAACTCCTTACAACCAGGGGACGCTATTGTCAAAATTAATGGTGCTGATGTGCAGAGCCTAAGTGTTGCACAGGTATGGCAAGAAGATGTTGCATTTTAACTATTCATAATTTATCTTTTTCTGTTAACAGGTTTTAATTTATTCTTCTTTTTCTTTTGTCTTTAGATACAAACAGTTCTTCAGGAACACACCAAACAGGGAGAGGTTATTCTACTGGTGTATCGTGGAGGTAAAATATTTCACAATTAATAATATGTGGGCTGAAGTTATAGCGGTTACAGTAACAGACTATAATTTACAATGCTGTTTCTGTGTGTAGGAAGTCACAAGTTTATTTTTATAATTTGGCTTGTAAACATGCCCCTTCAGCTTCATCTAAACAATTACACTAGTTTTGCTGGAGTTGTTCCAAAGTTTATGTGATTAAATTTCTGTCTCTATTATAATAATTTCTACTTGTACCTACACATTAATTTATGTCTTCAATTACATCTATAGCCACATATTTTTTTTTATAAAACTTTTATAAAACTACTTTTTCTAAATGTCATCTGGGATACTACTGTCTTCAATCTACAACCACAGTAAAATCTAGATGACATTTTCTGTAGAGCTTCAATGAAAGAATTATGGATTTATAATATTTTGTTCTTCATCACAGGTATCTACCACTCCCCTAGTTCCTCTCGGAGACTGCCCCCTTTGCTGCTGCGTCCCCCTCCTCCCCCTGTGGCCTCTGAAAATTCTGTGTTTCCCGACTGTCTGCCTTTGCCCCGGAGATGCAACAGTACCCCTCCGTCCCCCGCCCCCTCCCGCTCTTCTCTGATCCAGAGCACCAGTTTCCTGGAGTCCATACCCGTGACCCTGACCATGGAGCCCAAAGACTGGCAGAGCACAGGCCTGGAAGACGATGGTGCGACCCTGCCTGACCCTGCGCTTGAGCAGAGGCCAGGTGAAGCTGCACGGCCTTTCCGAGGGTTTGATGTTGAGCTGAGGAGAAAACCGGGAGAGGGCTTTGGGTTCGTCATCGCCTCTCAGGACATGGAAAATGGCAAAGGTGAGTTCTGCTCCTTAAAGGCATCTTTATGGCTCTGAATTTGAAGCCTGGGTTTTATGGCCAAACCATTTGGTTACCTGCCCACTGAAATGGCTTTATTTGGATGTCCTTGTGCCAAACTTCCCTTTAGGTAATTACATATTAAAGTGGTCACTATGGCCACTGGCCACCACTGAGTCATGAGTGCATCATCAGCTTTCTTTTGAAAATTGTTTTTCCAGAGGCTTAGTTTTATTAAAATATAAAGTTTGGTCCAGTGCAGTTTTAGCCTTTAGAAGTTTTTTTTAAAAAAGATCTTTCCACATCATTACAGCAGCACCCAGGGCAAAGTCACTAATGTTACAGCTTTATTACTGCTTAAAAACATGAGAGATTAATAACTAATTATTTGAACTAGCCACCACTTTACTACAATGGTGTGATAACCACCAGTGCATTAGACTGTAAAATACACTTTAATTAGACATGTATTAAAAAGCTCTTTTCCCCATTTCTACAATTTATCTTTATCCACGCACTTGACACTATATATTTTTATGTTTTCTATAAACCATAATGTCCATTGCTGTGAATCCTGCATGTATCTTATACACAGTGTATTAGGAGATTTCTGATTCATAGGTTATTCATCTTCTGTTAGATATTCTGCATATGAGATACAAAGGAATTTGACACATTTTACACTTTTCAGTCTTATTTTGATGTTGTTGCATATTTACAGAATCTTCATGGTAACCTTACCTGTCATATCTTTGTCTCTGCATTGACCTGACACAGTACGATGCTTGTTTATGTCCCGTGTGAGAGTGTGGCACGTCCTATTAAGCTTTAAGAGGTGTGCCAATAAGCAGCAGGTTAACCGCAGCACTCATATGATCTATTACCTCATGTTGGCAGCCCTGGTCCCACTATAATGCAGTTCAATTTTCTTTATGCTCTGTCTTAACATGTTTCACCGTGACGTTACACACCTGTCTCCACTGTACAAAGACATAGCTCTATCTAGTCCATCACCTTAATCACACCATTGTCTGTTCGCATTGTCCATATTAATAGCATTGCTTCCACATCACATATTGCTGCTCATTTGTTCTCTTATATTTTCATTCATCCTCTATTCTTGTCTATCCCTCCACTCCTCCAGCTCCTGCCCACTCTCTCCGCTGCTCTCACACCACTCTGCAGTAAAAGCATCCAGTCTGGTTTTTCAAAAGATTAAACTCTGCCCCCCTCCCTCCTCCTCTCCCTCCCTCCTCTTAGGCACTATCTCTCCTTCCTTTCGTCCACCGCTTTCCCCCCCAATGCCCGATGAGAAATGCTACAGTGAACATTTGCTGCGCATAGGAGCAACAGTGGGACAAGCCGCTGGGGGATAGTTAACCTGTCATTCAGTGTTGCATGTGAATACTAGCATCCCTCTGCCACCTGGATTTTTTATTTGTTTGTCTTTGAGAGCCAAACAAAAGCCATGCTGGAACGACTACAGTCTGCTTTGAAAACTGTGAAGGAATCCAAACGTAATTATAATTTTTGTATTGCTTATTTAATGCACTATTAGTTCATCAGTAGCTCTTTAAAGTTTGTTTCTGCTAGGGATAGTTTTACATGCAAGTGGTGAAACTTTGCTGCATAGATTAGCTAGTCAACCAAACTTTGCTGTATTGGCTTTGTTTACATGTCTGTTACATCTAAGCGCAACATTAGAAAGCTATATTTGCATTATATGAAATTTTCTCGAGTAAATAGATCATGTTCTAACCGGTGATTTTGTGCATAATTTCAGTAACAAACCATGCATCATAAACAGTCTGCCTGCAGGTTGATGTGTTGTCTGCAGCTCTTGGTGATTGTGCTTGGGGTTGCAGAAGAAAGGGGGATTTTTATGATGTTGGGGAGGGGTCTGCCTGCCTGTGACGGGTGCAGCACTGGTGGGATACACTGCAGTGACAATACCCTGGAAAGACTGTAGTCTTTAAACAGCACTCTATTTGGATGCATTTGTGTATTTAAATAGGATTGCACGTGCTGGGTACATCTGCATCTGTCCCTGGCTTCTGTGTGTGCAAGGTTTAACACGTGCTTATGACATATGTATTATGAGTGCTGTTGATCTGGTGCTATGCTAAGAGGACTATTTGAAAAGCTGCCCCATCCTGTCTCGGCTTTTTGGGTCATTCAGATTAGGACAAGGGGGAGAGGAGTGAAGGGCTAAGCCTATATGGAAAATATATCATTGTGATTGCATTACATGATTGCATTGCTTATTGTTTATGTCCAGTAGCATTAAACAACTGAAAATGTCCAAACTACAGGCAGGTTTAAGCAACAAGACTAAGGATGATGACATTTGGATAATTGATTGATTTGATTGATAATTGACAATAAACTTTTTGAACTTTGAAATTTGATAATCATGATTATTCAGGTCACAATATATTTATAAGAGCTAAAAAGAAATAACTGTGATTTCAGTTCAATTTGTTCTGAACATAATGAAAGGTTTTGGGGGAGAGGTTTACACTGTTCTTTGATCATAGTGTCAATACTCATGAATAATTGTTAAATCATAATGTTTCTTCTTAAAATAATCTATAACAGGAAAATTAGGGTGCATTCAGTGTTCACACTTGTCTTGGTTTGGTCCTGGGACCAGTCTGAGTCCTCAGTTGTTCCCATTCAAGTCCTTGTTTAGTTCTGGTATAGTCCAGGTTTAGTTTAGTATTGTGACTGTGTGATTTAAAAAAAAAAAATTCAGAGGACACTGCATCTTTCAAACATTTGCAGATTTTGCAATTGCAGCTATTTCAATTAAATTTTTGGTTGATTGTTCAGCCCTAATGGTGTGTTTTAGGCTGTGAATTATAGGTTGTATTAATTAGATAGTCACTGTGGTATGACTGACATAGAGGTCACTCCTGTTGACATATTTCTACCTCTTAATTACAGTCCTCATGATGGCAAGTGCACAGAGACGCTATTTCAGCATGTTTCTTCCCCTCCTGGATATCGACTGATATATAAGAGGCTGCATGGCACAGCTGACTGGTGGTTTTCAAAATGACTTGGGTTATATAAGGACGCAGGCAGGAGTCAAGATGAGCCAGCTGTCATCGAAACACAGAATAACCTAAAATTATAAAATTATTTTATCACAATACTTGTACAAATATGGAAATGTAAGATGATTAAGGTGTTCTATGATTTTTGGATCACAAATGTTCAGTATTACATGGTTGCCTCTGTTAATAGAAAAGAGTTGCTGTATTTCTGGGAAGTTACTGGATTAAACTTCACTGTTCATTACCACTGACCAGGGTTGGGTAAGCACTAACAGTTGATACTTTGCAGCTGATGTCAGCATAATTCCTGATGCTAACTGAAGGTACTGTTCAGTCAGAAGCGCTACTACACTTTAATCTGAGTCTAATTCATATTTGATGAATTATAAAAATAGTTCAAACTTTCAAAGTCATGTAAGTAAACTAAAATATATATTTTTTACCCATAAAGAACGCATACAAGAATGAGAACAAGTGCAGAGTCTGCCCTTCAGCAATTTAACACCCTGAGTTGTACTGGCTTGTATAATAACATACATAAATGTGTGATATATTTCTGAAGTAAATATAGACAATAAATGATAATACTGAAACTAATGCCAGTCACAAAAACCCAAGAGGAGCTTTAAACCACATTTTAATTTAATAAATTAAATTAAAATGTTATTATTAATGTTAGTATAATTTCCCATCTAATTACTTTGAGAAAGGTCTTCATACAAAAACATGGAAACCCTGTGAAATGTGCTTTTCTAGTAACTTAAATTATGAATGAGAGAGAATAAAAAGAACCCATGTAAGAATTTGTATTAAATTTTAAGCAGATAAAGGCAACTGACAGTGAACATTCATTTGGTGTTCCACATTTGCACAAAGTCACAAGATTAAACCTGTTTTCTACTCTGAAATAAATTGAAGAAAAGCTTTGGAAACACAGTTCTGCTGCTGAAAGGTAGAATGGCATCTTCTCATTATCAGCAGACATGGTAAGATTATATTTTCCCAGACTAAAAGAACAGTTGGTTCCACAAGCACAAAATAGTGATGTGTGTGCTTTTTTCAAATCAACACAGAGGATTTTGAAATAATCCACCATCATTAAAAATAGAACACATTTGGAATGGAAGAAGTCTATTAAATCATTCTCCTTAGTCTGATAGATTTAAGAACTAGCTCAATAAATGTTGGTTGATTCTTGATGTTTATTGCTAAAACAGTAACCCAAATAATTGGACTAAAATACATGTATTGTAACTGAACTGTAATTTTAAGTACCACTCTAGTGGCCATATCAGTTTGCCAAAGCCTGATCTTGTCAGATCTCAGAAGCTAAGCAGGGCTGGGCCTGGATAGTATTTGTGTGGGAGACCACTGGTAAAATCAGGTGCCACAGGGGGGCGCCACTGGCAAAAACCGTTGTTGTGTCCTTAGGCAAGACACTTCACCCACATGACCTATTACGAAAGTGATTTGTTGGTGGTGGTTGGAGGGACTAATGGCACAAATTGACAGCCTTGCTTCCATCAGTCTGCCCCAGGGCAGCTGTGGCCACAATAGTAGCTTGCCACCACTGAGTGTGGAGTGCAATGATTAATGAGTTAATCCTCTCCTAAAATCACTAAAAGCCCAAATTAGGCCTACATTTATTTATGGTTTATTTATTTATTTATATGTACAGTATGTAACTTTCCAGAGGTAGCATGTCATCTGCATGATTCAATGGAAATAAAAAATTAAAAACCTACTAAAAACTAGATAAATCAGTTTTACTCCATGCTGTAGAAGGCAAACGCCAAATTAACATTTGCCTCCTCTAGGCAGGTTTGTGGAGATGCAAGCCCACAGAGTAAGGATGCATGTTTTTGTAGGTTTGAAAAGATATACTTTTATTTTATATAAGTCAGTTTTTAGGTTAGTTGCATATTGTGGCTTTCAAATACATTAAAGGGATTTTTTTCAATGTATAAAACATAAAATCCCAATAAATAAATACAAGACACAGTTATGATGTAACCACAGAACTAAATATTTCTTTAAATGTAATTCTTGTCATGTAAAACAGAATAATGATAAAAATTTATTTCAAAATTCACATTCTGACAGATTAGGAAATGAATGGAAATATAGGTTGATGGGCCTCATTGACTGTTCACTGCTAATAAACAATTATAGTCAAGTATTGGTAATGTTACTTCACCTTACATGCATACACTACCTAAAAAAATATTTAAAAATTCACAGTAGTCTGACAGATTTGGGGAAAAAGGATTCTGGGGACTGACTTGTGCTCTAAGACAAATGAGCAGTGATAACAGTTTGTGGTGTGTCAGCGAATGGAGATGTAGGTTGATAGATGGGCGAGATGAGGTGGAGGAGGTTGTTTCAAGGAGACGCTGGAAGAAGAAAGATTTCTTGTCTAATTTATGGCATTCACTCTCTGCCAAAAACAATCCGAAGCTTAATTACAACATGTTTTAAGAAATCTGGCGTGTGCTGCTGTGAGGTAAATCAGTTGGACCTGTTGGCCTGTTGAGTTAAAAGCAGTTTTGCTAATGAGTAGTGCTTTTGAATGCAAATGTTACGTTTAAGGTGTATTTGAACAAGCACAGACTAAATTACACCGACAAATGAATGGTGTGTGTGGTGTGATGGATAATCATTGGCAGGTAGGGGTGTCAGTAATGTTATGATGAAAGAGTTGTGGTTCGGGGGAAATATCTGCGTTGGTGCATAGAAATAGATATTTGGTTGGTGGTGAAAGAGAAGAGACGGAGAGGCTGTGGTGGCATGTCGCTGAAACATCTGGTTGAAAGACGGGAAGGTCAACAATCATGGACACGTGACAGAGTTAGAATAATATAGGAAATGCAGACTTTGGTTGTGTCGAATTTCATGTTTCTTTTGATTGTTCAAATTGGAACTATTCATTTCCACTTTAATTTTCAGTTAGACAAGACATAAATCTCTTGAGATGATAAAAGACATCATCTTGATGAAAGATGACATTTTGACCTAAATACATACTCCTTATGCATTATTTTAGTTAAAAAACAAATGTTTAATATGGAATTATCATTATGCACTTTTTAGATTGGTGTCAATTTTGGGGCAAATTAAAAAAGAAAAAACTCTCCATGGGGATGACAGTTGGAGAGATCTTGTGAGATCTTGTCCCATCACTCTCTGTGAGAAGTTTTGCAGCCCTAATTCACTCTTCAGCTTCATTAGATATTTCCTTATTGTGTTTTTCAGCAGCCTCTCTTCTGCCCCATCGCTTTGTGACGGTGCGCCGGGGCAGTCCTGCAGCCAAAAGTGGGCAGATTCGTCCAGGAGACCGATTAGAGGCGGTGGAAGGGCGGTCCGTGGTCCATTTGCCCCACAGAGAGCTCTCTCAGATCCTGCGTAGGGCTGGGAACACTCTGCGCCTCACCATTGTACCAAGGCCCAGTACATGTGAGTAACACATCCACTCAATGAAGTTACATTAATTTACAAGTCAAAGAATAGTAGAAAGACATTGAATATCCACATTTCATTGCAAATAATACTTTGTGTACAAGTTACAATATACAGTTTAAAAGTGTACTAATTTGTCTCCATGGAAACATTATTATTTTGCCTGTCAAAAATACCTTGGAAAACATGCATTCTTATTGTGAGTGTGGTTACGCAGATCTGACCTGTAACTTGGCCTGTTTGTCTCCTTGGAGACTTATTTTATTTAATGACATACAGCAGAAGATTACAAGCAAAGTATCTTCATAGTGAGAAACAGGCAGAAAAAAATGCTGTGTTGGGTGAAGTACACTCTATTCTTGCTTACTTTAACAAAAAAAAATGTCAACACAAAAAATGTGCTTCGTTAAGTTGTATATATGTAATGTTGACCTAGTTACACAACAACTCTTCAAACTATGAAATGAAACTTCGTTTTTATGTTTTCAGACTCTTCCACTTACCCAGAATCCAATGAGTTTGATTCCAGTCACAGAGGCAGAAAAGGTCAAAGGTCAAGACCCAAGGTAACCCCATACTACATTGTATTTATTAATAGATCATCTTACATGAAAATACAGATGTTGAACACATTTAGTTAATTTGTCCTTTTTGAATGTATTTTCCTAGCGCGACTCGAGGTACTACAGTGTGGACTTGGACAGGGGCCCCTCAGGTTTCGGCTTCAGTCTCAGAGGGGGCAGTGAGTACAACATGGGCCTGTATGTACTGGCTCTGATGGAGGGTGGTCCCGCCTCACGCAGCCAGAAGATGCAGGTTGGCCTTCAAATACAACACATTATCACAATGACAGTCTTTCTGTTTCATATTTTACAGATAGATAGTTACTTTATTGATCACAAAGACAATTTATAATACACACTTCAGATGTAGCACTATACAAACCTTATTATTGATATTTTGCAGTGACATCACACTGGGGCTTTTCTACATGTACATACATGGAGACACAATGCACATATGCAAACACTGCCAAAAAAGTTTAAGAGTCTGAAAACTCAAGAAAAAATACAAAATGTATTTAAACAATATATTTTCAGGAGTCGGTGATCAATACAATACAATACAATACAAGCATTCATGGTCCTGTTTAGGTGTTTGATTTTCAACAAAAAGGTGAAAGGTAGAGGTGTGCTCGGGACAGAATTTTCAGTCCCGCTTCCGCATTGTGCAGTCCCGCTCCCACAAAGAATTGTAATTTTCAGTCCCGCTCCTGCCTATATCTGTGATATTTTGTCCCGTTCCTGCCCGCAAGTCCCACAGGATGGGAACCTTTGCTTTCTTAAGCTCTATCAAACACAGAGAAGCGAAACGAATTGGGCTACGTATGGGAGGAGGCGCGGTCCGGCGGCATCTGGCTAAATCCTGTTTTAGTCGTGCTTTAGTTCTGGTTTTAGACCTTTTTTTAGACCTGGTTTAGTTCTGCTTTAGTGGTGCAGCCCACACGGCGTACAGGAGGAGGGACTCTCTGTGCGGCGTACAGGACAAGGGGGACTCTCTGCACAGCGTACAGGACGGGGGGACTGTCTGCGCAGCGTACGGGATGGAGGGTGCTGTTTGTATGGCATACGGGGCGGGGGTGCACTGTCTGCGTGCGTACGGGACGGGGGGGACTCTCCATGCAACGTACAGAAGGCGGGACGGTCTGTTGCTTAAAATGTTTTTATTAATGCCAAATAAAATATCCAGCATAAATGATGCATGATATGCTTACATTCAGACTAAAAACATGGCAAAGCAAGTTTATTTTGTGTAGCACAATTTTTACATGAAATAATTCAAAGTGCTTTACATATAAAGAAAGACATTAAAATCACATTACAAATAAAGCAGCTAAACATAACTAATTAATAACATAATTAATTATAAATCTATTTAAGGAAATATCTTGGTCTATCTTTGTTTCTACTTTCATGCAATAAAAATGTTGGTTTTACAACTTAATATTCTATGAGTCTATGACAATACTACTATCACTACAGTGATTCCACTTTAATAGCAATAGTATTAAATTTTTGGAGTGCCTTTCTTTTGTTCTTTCAGGTGAGTGATCAGTTGGTGGAGATCAATGGAGACAGCACAGTTGGGATGACCCACAGTCAGGCCGTGGAGCAGATCCGAAGAGGGGGACACCGAATCCACCTGGTCCTGAAGAGAGGGAACGGCTACGTGCCTGACTATGGTATACAACACAACTAACTTTTTACAGTGCTTGTTTTCCTCTGGGTGACCTTTCTTTGAACTTGTCACTAGAGGTGGGTGATATATGGAAAATGGATAATTTTGCAATTGTTGTTTTGGGCATATGCAAATTAAGTCACATTTATTGTATATCATTTGTAAACTTTTGTAAAGGTTCCTAGATATTAATTATTGATTTAAATATTATATATACATATATATATATATGTGTGTGTATATATATATATATATATATATATATATATATATATATATATATATATATATATATATATATATATATATATATATATATATATATATATATATATGTGTGTGTGTGTGTGTGTGTGTGTATATATATGTATATGTATATGAATATATGAAACTATTAAAAAGACTGAAAAAGGGCAGATTAAATGGAACTAAACTACAGAAACTTGCTGTGTAATTTTCCAAACAAGGGTATGCAACTTAGTTTACAGTCATAATTTCACTTCAAGCTAGATTTTTAAAAGGGACACCTTAGCACATTTCTGACGCATTGCTTAAATATCGTTGAGATAATTATTTAAAAATGTGTTTCAATATTATCCACCCCTGCTTGTTACTAATACTGGGACTGATGCTTTTGCTTTGTGCTTTTCCCGCCTTCTGCCCCAATTTAATTTCATGGTTCATTTCTTCTTATGGTTTCTTACCTTCTTTATGCTTTCTGTTTCCTGTCCTTTCCCTTTCTTCCTTCTCTCTCAGTGGAGCTCTCTAGCTTGTCTCTTTGTATGACCAACTCCAAGCTGGGCGAGCCTTGCTTCTATGTCATTGGACGGACAGAGAATACGCGGTTGGTAATGGTTCCTGTTAGTTCTCCCATTTTCTCTCTCTGCATTCCTCTGCCCTGCCTCCATCGCTTTCCTCATTCATAAATAACATAAACAATAATAAGTGATAATTAAATCTTTTTGCTGTTCACTTTACAGTTGACAAACAAATCCAAGTGTTACTGTAAAAATAGTTAAGAAATATTAACGTAGTTTCCAGTATACAGAACACCCTTTAAATATATTTAAAGGTGCATTATATAATGTTTTTTGTGCCACCAGTGCTTGCTTGTCTCTATGAAGATGTTATATCTGCTTTATCTGGAAATAGTCCACAATATTAAACATCTTTATCTTGCATTTATTCAGCTATGGGTGTTTTTTATCGCTCATAAATAGCTTGAAAAACATAAATTCATATTGTGAGCCTCTATACCATAGAACATTCCAGGCAAAGCAATACTATCTCCATGGACACAAGCAGGTGTGTGACACTCCACCAGAAAAGTTACATAGTGCACCTTTAAAAAAAATGTTGTAAAATGCTCATGCAATCAGTCGTCCATGAGTGTTCTATAGCAACAGAAGCAGTTGCATAAACAGTACTATTTACAGAACATGATAACAGAAAGTGAATGTATCTTATAAACATATCTAGTTATTGTTTTTATATACTTTGCTAATTATTTGAAGTATATGAGAACAACCTTTACATTTACATTATGGGCTCCCACACTACACTTTTAATTTAATCAGGCTGTGAGGTGTTAGTCAATGTTGTGTAAGCATTGTATATTGAATAATAAAGCCATACTCACAGTCTAATATACATAACATCTATCTATCTCTCTGTTACAAAAGGTTTTCGAAAATTATACCAAGTACCACCTAAGAATTTATCTAAACTTTTGAGTACAACCAGATCTAAATCAGGTCAATAGCAGGACTGTTCCAGGTTTAAACAATGACTAAATACGATATAAAACAGGATTAACCACTGCTACTGTAGTTCTAAACAATAACTACCACAATAAAGGACAATGTTGCATAGTAAATTGAATAGTTTGAATTGTAGAAGATCCTGTGTACCACCAAAAGAAGCCTGCATACCACCGCAGCCCTCCGTAAATATTTGAGAATGATTTATACAATATAGTACATTTTTTGTTAGTACACTTGATGCACAGACCATGTTTAATCGACCAAGAATTTCTTTAGTTGACTATAGCTGTAGAAAGATCAAAATGACAGCCAGAATAAATAAGGCAAAATCTAAAATAGGCTAATCACTATCAGAGTAAATGATCATAAAATCCATAAACCAGGACCAACCAACCAAACACCAATTTACATGATTTAAGTGTAAATACAAAATGTATTGGATTTAAAAAGACTAGAACTGCAGAGGAGTACCACCAGATGAGCCAGATGAGCAAACACCTTTGATATACTGTACAGTTTGTAAAAAAAAAATCCTAAAACAGAAGAGGCTGTTACACAAGCTGTTATAAAACCTTCCATTTCACAGCTTTCATTACATAATACCCAGCTCTTATACTGTACCTGTGTTAAGACTACACTGTGCTCTGCTTGTGTGCACAGGCCGTGAGCGCAGGACCCGCTCCCTCTCGCCCCTGCGTCACCCCAAGGAGCAGGGTTTGGCTGCAGTAGGCTCGAGGAGGAGGAGGGCACATAGCTCCAAACCCCAACGAAGAATCAAGTCTTCACATGAACGGGACAAAAGTCAAAGAGGACGCAGCAGACGAAGAAGGGAGGCAGACTCAGGTTTACAAAGTCCAGTCTCCGTGGCGACCGAACGGGAAAAAGATAGGAGGAGCAGGAGGAAGAAACGTGAATCACAAAGCTTACCCCGAGATGCCCTTAGGAGTCGCCGTGGCAGTGATTCAGACAGAAGTAGAACAAGAGCAAAAAGGAGAGGCCGGAGCAAAACCAGGAAGAAGCGAACCCATAGTGAGGAGAGGTTAAGGGTTGAAGAGAGGCAGACTGAAGAACAGGTGGAGGAAGATGGTGAGGAGGTATTGAGAGAAGAGGTTAATGACATTTTTGAAAGAGAGGTAGCAGAAGAGATTGCACAGGAAGAGGAGGTTGAGGTAGAAGAAGAGTATATAGGAGGAGAGGAGGTTGAGGAAGATGTGGTTTTGCCTATTCCCAGTCCCACCTCAAAGTTACCCTGGCCAAAACAGGAGTCATGGAGTGAAAATGAAGGAAAAGAGACTGACAGTGTTTCTGTTGAAGAGTTCAGAGATTTAAGTGGGCAGTATAGACCATTAATGGGAATGAATAGGGAGCTAAGAAGGATACCAAGGCCAGAAAGTGCATGTGAGTCAGTATGGTCAAACTATGAAGATCAGGAGACTGGATTCCAACAGGGTCAGGTGGATAAAGAGGAGGACAGAGATAGAGAAGAGAGCGAAGAGTTTTTAAAAATGCCTTTACCTGCTGTGGAGGAGGATCAAGTGTCACAGACAGAGCTCTTTTACTTTCTCACCTCTGCTAGCCACCAGGGGGATAATGAGTCAGATTCAGGAGGGAGCCAGTCAGATGCAGCCAGTATTTCAGGTCTCTCGCAGGTCACCACAGCAGCAGCTGGACACAGGAGGGTGAACAGGACTGTGTTGAGACCAGGACCCTGGTTACAGCCCAGTGAGCAGAGAGTAGCACAGGTGATAAAGGAGGGTAGGCGGCAGAGCTTTCATCCAGGAGAGACTTAACATTTTGAACTTATTATTCAAGTAATTAAAGGTGCACTGCTTAGCTTTTGGTGGATGGTGAGCTAGGGAAACAGCTGTGTCTGGAATGTGACACAGTAGGGAATTAAACATATCTGTCTAGCATTTATTTAATTACAGGTATATTTATTGCTCAAAAATACCTTGAAAAAAACATTCATTCTTACTGTGAGTGGGCTTGCAGATCTGGAACTTGGGCCACTGGTGGTACTTTCTTGCCTCCATGGTAATGGATAAGTTTGATGCCATAATGTGGAGCATTCCTGGCAAAGCAATAACATTTCCCATCTCATGGAGACAAGCAGGTGGCGTACCCTTTCCCATAAAAGCTTTGCAGTGCACTTTTAAATTCTCTTTTGAAAAATATGGCTAGTCATTCTGCCCTTGAATCTGAAGCAAAGCCACTCAGCTAGAATGGCTTTTAAAACACAAATTACATACATTACTGACAAATTAAAACCAGTTTATACTACCTCTAACAGGTTCATTTTGACATTATGTTAATTATCGTTTAAAATAATTACAATTTCTATAATTTCATATTTGAGCAACCCTTGCTGTGATTTTTTTTTTAATGTAAGGATACTCTACAATGGAAGTAAAAGGATAACATCTCCCCCTGGGCCGAAGATACTATTGTAGAGAAGGATTTTGGTACATTACTGAAATAGTAGGAGGAAGGATGATAAGAGAGATGGTACATTTATATGGATAGCTTGATAGATGGAAAAATGGAAAGGTAGCAGAATTTGATTGACTGACAGATAAGTAATATTTCTGGAAGCACAGGAACGAGGTTGGAAATTCCATCTTCCTGGTTGAAATCACGCTTCAATTGACAGAGAAGAAGAGGGACTGTCGTTTGGTCACCGTTTGGAAGAGGGATGTTTTTTATTGTTGTCTCCTGTTTTCTAAGTGATATCTGTGCCTTCTATAGCTGACTATTAGCAGATCTTTATAATATTATTAGAGAGTGACACTGTAGTCTTGTTCTAACACATTGCTCATTTAATTATACCCTCACAGATGTTTCAAGGATAAGTTTTTTTTAAAGGTGCACCATAACTTTTCCTGAGAAGGATCCGCCATCTCCTTGTCTCGATGGAGATGTTATTGTTTTGCCTATAAATGGTCAACAGTATGGAGTTAAACTTATCTATCTCCATGGAAACAAGCACCATCAGCCAGGTCAAGTTACAGGTCATATATATATATACATATATGCAGAGGTGAGCTTACTCAGAGTAAGAATGCATAATTTTTTTTTTTTGCTATAAAATATCTCTAATCACTTGAATATAAGCTTGACAGGTTTAATGCCATACTGTAGAACATCTGGATAGTGACAAACAGGTAACAGACCCCTACCAGAAAAGTTATGTAGTGCACCTTTAAGACAACTTGGTTTTAGCCAACTTCTTACCATAACTCTATCACTGACAACCCCCCCACTGAACAGACACTGCGCTGATGTATACCTCACCCAAAACTGAGCAATAATAATGCAATTTATGAGACTATCAGCCATCCACTGGTTTGAGCGTAACACGTTTGTCTCTATGTGTTGTACATGTAGACACTTGCCTTGACTTGTAACGTTGTTCTGTGTGTCTGAATATCTCCATATAAAATCTAATAATGCAAATCCCTTATTAAGCAGGTGTATATACAGAGAGAACTGAAATATTGTACATATTTTGAAAGCCCTTAATTACAAATATATATGCACTATATCTATACAGAATAAAATAAGTACTCATATAAATTATTTAATATTGTGTCATGATGAACCATAAATGGATCTATAGCTTTTGTGAAAGTTAAACAACTACTGTTTCTGGCCTATTTGTAAAATGAGAGATTTATATAATGCTACTGGTTGTGGATAGGATGTTTTATGGCGTTCACTTCAGTAAGAGATGCCAAAAATATGCATCTGGTTTGCATATTTGTAATTATCCTAATGTGTTTCAGAACAAAACAGATTCTTAGGAATGCTGTGCCCATCGCTGTTGCCTTGGTAACACAAACCATTTTATCTTGATTTCTTACTGTGAATACCCTTACTCCGAGATATGGTAAATGAAAGGTGGGCGGGCTTTTTTAAAAATAATTTCACTAATGCCAAAACTGGGCCTTTCTGGAAAATATCCAAAATCTAGCTTCATCTAAAATACAAACACTAGCTTATAAATTATGCTTTCCCATTGTTGAATTCTGTTAGGTAGTAGACACAGACTTAATAATACTGTGAGATGTTATTTTTCTATGATATTTTCTATCTTTTGAAATACTCAGGTTTTTTCGATTTAGAGAGAAGCCATTAGCAAAACAAGCTACTATCCTGTTCTCATCTTAAAAGTGTGTTTAAGACATTTTTTGGCATCATAAGGTGACTGTTACACCTCATATTTGGTTAGCCTATATTTTAAAGCCATAGTTTCTACAGCTTCCATATAAATGATTGCAGCTGCCCAAACTGTTAACATGGCAGCTCCACTGACCACACAGCCCTGTAGCTCAATGCCTATATGTTATTTTATAATGTTTGCTAATGTTCTTTTTTTAGATTTTCATTTCCTTGGGGAGATTATATTGAGGAACTGTAAACACATTCTAATAAAAGTGCAAATAAAGTGCTGAACCTATTTCCTCAGTGGTCGTTTATTGCGTTCTGAACTGCAGGCAGCCAACATTGGACAGCAGATGGCAGCAGATTTTTACTGAGGCTATTTTTAGAGAACATCTTAAGATTTGCCGTGCAATAAGAATGCCATTAGAGTGCATTTATGATATAATCGGGAAAACATCATTTCCGAGACGCACTGCAGTCTTCCTATAGATTATAGATAGATTCAGACAACACGGATTGCCAGCTTCACCTCTCGGGTTAGGTGCTCCGTGCATCACCTCAAATACAAATCTGTTAAGGGCCAAATTAATCTCCCATCCAGATGAATGCACTTCAGCAGTTACTTTCTAAAAATAACTGCTCTCCTCTCGGGCTTGTTCTGTGAATCCGCTCGTGCACAATAAACACAGCCGCAGACTCCTCTACTACTCGTGAAATGTAAAATTATTTTAATTAGGGATAAGCTCAGTCGTGCTGCAAATATGCTCTATTTGCACGCAACAGGACTTCATAGCATCGTAAAGTTGCATGAATTATTAACCAACCAAACTTTTAAAATAATAGCACTATAAAATAATAGTGCTATTGATGCCCCCACCCCCACCACCACCACCATAAAAAAATCTTTTTTAAGGTGTCATAATGTAAACATTAGGCTACTTTCACTGTAGTACCCAAAACACGCTACTCACCGTGGCTGTAGTTATCGGCACATTATGGTTTTATTTTGAAAACCTTCACCGGATGCGCATTATTCCCGTACACATTACTTATCTGCGCTCCGGAGAAAGAGGCGCACGGCACGCGCCTGTCAGCTCCTCAGACGCTCATAAAAACATTTTAGTGCGCCACTGCTAAAGGAGCCGCGCTGCTGCACTTTTTGACGGAATACTGCCAAGTAACATTTCAACTTTATGCGTCATTTGAGACAAAAGCGGGGACATCGACAAATATCTAAGTGCAGATAAGATTACGTATATTTTATTAAGTTGTACAGGAGCTCTGATACCACTGATGGATGTGTTTCGTGACCGGCAACGCGACAGTCTTCTCGGATGAAAACTGCAGAGACTCCTGCGCTTTGGGACACCTCTCCACTTGCTACCATAGGATGTAGTTTTCCCGGAGCTCAGAGAACAATTTAACCCTCGATTATGAACTTATTAGCAAGTGACTTTTGCTTTTGCTTCGTGCGCTAAAGGCACAGAAAACCATGGGTTGAAAGCAACGATGATAGACTGCGGGGATGTTCAACGTGGGAGGGAGAAGAATTTTCTATGTTATGTAATGACTGACACGGACTGATTATTAGAGGTACAGCTCAGCTGGAGCCGCTCCTTCATCACCCCTTCCCCTTTCCCCCAGTGCTACAGAAAGTTATTTTTCTGAAGCGACTCGTAAACACCTTAAATGTCACGGGTCAGAGCAGATAGTTAGTGAAATGATTTATGTGACAGGCTCCTTTCTTTCAAGCTTCACCATCAAATGCCATGTACTTAATGATGATAGTGCCAATCTCTTGACCTTCTCTTGGTAAGTGTCACAGACTTAAAATGACTTCAGGAGATCTGACCCTCACATCTGTCTTCTGTTTGAGATCAGGACTCTCCCCTTCACTTTGATGGCCACAAACACAGGATAATGCACTTTCTTCTCCTGTGATTGGATGATGTAGATTCATACAGTGTGAATCTTTTAGTTGCTGTGGCTTGTTCACAAAGACCTGAGGCATAAAGAAAACTTTTTCCAGAGCGTGCCTTGGTCCCTCCCTCCCCCCACTCTTCAGGGCTGGTGGGGGGGGTGGATCTTCGCCCCACGGGGTCGTCACCGTGGCGGCGCCAGGCCCCAGAGGGATAAGGGCTGCCATCATGGAGACCAGCCCTGAGAGCCCAAACCGCGCTGTGGAGTACCTGCTGGAACTCAACAACATCATTGAGAGCCAGGCCAAGCTCCTTGAGACGCAACGGCGCCGGATCGAGGAGCTGGAGGGTCAGCTGGACCGGGTCAGCCAGGAGAACCAGGATCTGAGGCAGGAGAGAAGCCCCCGGACCGCCGCACCAGACCCCCCAGAGCATAACCACAACAGTCAGCCACTGCCCCTCTCCATCCATGGCTCTTCAAACACCTCCAGCGCTCAGGCCACAGCCGGACCACCCACTGCTCCAGGGACCAGAGAGCGCAGGACCCTGAGCAGGCTGACCAGGGGCCTGTCCTGTGGCTCCAACCCCCCCGACCGTGACCGCCTGGAGCGCACTGACAGCACAGGACACCAACTCCAGCGCCACCATACGCAGGAAGTAAGTCTTTTACAGCTCACACTCACTACACACTAGACTATGATAGCAGCCATACCATACCATCATGTGGTCAGATTGACACATACAAGGGTTTTGACTTTAGAAACTGGAGCCTCTGTTACCTGGGGAAGATATGTCAGTTCATATTGCAAAACAGGATGACAGTTGTGGTGAAGCTGCAGTCTGTAGTCACCACCATAAATGGCTGAAATGGCTCCAAAGCCCAAAAGTGGAATATATGCACAGTGCGAGAAAGGGTGGATTTTTCATGTGATTTTGACAGGGCTGTGATTGGAGTAATGATCGGCCCATTATGAGGTGAGCTGCGTGGGAGTGTAGTAGTATGCAGCAGATCTGAGATGGGGTAGAGCCCTTTTCATGGTGATTTCAACTTTGGAGTTTTTAGCTCTTTTGATGAAGAAGTTCTTTCTTTCATCTCTCTTTTAGTGTTAATGTTTCTTGTCTAAGATCTTTCTATCTCAAGGCTGACCTGAAATAAGAGGCTGCAAACACAGCTTTGGCACACAGCATGTGCATCTGTCCCTGCCTTTACTTCAGTACACACACACACGCAAATGGAGGCACTCTCCAATAGAGTTGGCTTTTGTTCTGCAAGCATTAAGCTCTGTGAGTAGGCAGCAGCTCATGTGAATTCAGTACACAGGGAATATGACAGTGCAGTGTTGAGAACACAAACCAGCAGGCCTTGTGTAACTATGTTTTCCCTTAAACAGTCCCTTCTGCAGTTACAAGATCCCTGCCTATTGTGATGATGACTATCTACCTTTAAAAGTCCCAATTCCCTCATCTATGATCCTCTCAACTTGACCGAATCCCCTATCGATTAGAGCTGTCACTTCCTCAGCTGTCTGCCTCTGTGCCCCCACCCCTCTCCCCCAAGGGTGCCTTAGTCATTAGACTCAAGCACATATTAGTTATTTATGTGGGTGCTAAACACACTGATGAATTGCAAATGTAGATCTTGCTGATGCCCTCTTGCTAATTGCCTGTAGCGGATGCGGCTGACTTTGGTCCAGGCCCAGACAAGCGCATCATATAAAGTGTCACATTTAATCAGGAGTCTTTTAACAGGCAGCCTTACTGTTGTTGTCTCATTTTGACAAATCTCTGATTGTTTATTAGTTTGAATCACTGACTCAGAGTTTCACTTTGATAGAGGATTGACTATGAAAATGTTTATCAGAATTCATAAATTTAGCTTTAAATCTTTGCAGACAGAAGGGTGATGTGGGAATGGGACATGAAAAGAAAAAGCCAGGGGGGGTGATAGTGACTGCGACCTTACTCAGCATGCCTCAGTCGAATTGAGAAAAGGTAGAACACACACACTGCGTGCCCATCTGTCACAGGCTGGTGTGTAGAGAGAGGGAAGCCTGGACCAGAGCTCACATTACTCTGTAGTCTGTGTCTCCTCATCTCTGCCCTCTGCTCTCATTATAGCTGTGTTTACTATGGCAACACATTTGAACTACAAAAATAGCTGTAATTTTGGAGTGATTTTGTAGTATTAGTTGGTGATCAACATTTTAGACTTGTTTGTTTTATGGTATATCTGGTTTGAAAAAATAAGTAAGTATCTTGCACTTTAAAATAATTATTGGTACCGCTTTATAATAACTACACCTTATTAGATTTAAAGCAGACCTGTTATGCAAAATCAACTATTTGTCCATGTTATTGTTGTTTCTTCCACAATTTACTCACCAGAATTTGTATTTGGAGTGATTTGTGCAGGTTTGAGCAATCTTTAATTGCCTATTTACAAGATGCCACATTTCTGATCAACTTCCATTTTCATCACCACCACCAGCATATGTCCATTGCCCTGTACTTAGTTTGTTCTCCAACTTATTTTCTTAATCAATGATATTTGTGGGATTCAGCAGCGTTGTGTAATGAGCTGGTCCAAATGAAAAAAAAACAAACAAAACAAAACCTGCAGCTCACTAGCAGCAGCAGGCATCTATTGGAGATGTCGACTCCTTGTTGTGATGACATTTACGGTGACGTCATCTCCCATTGGACACTGCATTTTTCTAATGGGGAAGTCAGCAGACTC